TCCCCTAGACAGACAAATTGATCTTGACCTAAAGAGGGCCTATCAGATGGCTGGAAATGCCTGCAAGCCAGTGATTGCACTGACATCTGTCTCCAATGTTTTTTGAGTATGGACAGACAACATAGAGGGGGCTATTCAGCAGGGAGTTCCCAAGGAAGACATAGTCAAAGCCTTTGATGAGCTCAAGCTCTTGGCTGACTTCATCGGTGAAGCAGCTATCGATACAATAAGATCTTCTGCAAGATCAGTGCTGCATGCCGTAATGGCAAGGCGGGCCTTATGGTTGAAGCCGTGGGCGGCCGACATGGCGTTAAAACAAAATCGGTATAAAATCCCTTTTGATGGTAAATCACTGTTTGGAGAGAGCCTGGAAAGGGCCCTTTCCCATGTTACTGGAGGAAAATTAGGTCTGTTTCCCCAAGAGAGAAGACCTAGACGTACCAGGGGATTTACTTCAAGATCTCAGAAGTTTCGAGGCAGAGATCACAGGCAGTTCAGACAGGGCAGAGACTCAAGGAAGGCCTGGAGAAGCACACAATCAACTTTTTGAGGACCCACAAACAAAAAGCTCTGCCTATCCCATAGGACACCGCCAATTCCTTTTGACGACAGGCCAGCCTAGGCAATCCCAGTAGGAGCCAAACTGAGGAATTTCGCCAAGGTTTGGATGCAAAGGTGCCAGGATCCCTGGGTGGTCTCAACAGTCTAATTCGGACACTTCTGGGCTTTCTCAGGACGGCCACCTTGTGACTTCTTCACCCCCACAAGAATACCAGTGTCTCCTCAGAAGAGGGAGATACTTCTACAGTTTCTGGATTCCCTACAGCACAACAGGTGGTAATACCCATTCCTCAATCAGAGAGGTTTTCAGGTTTTTACTCCAACCTATTTCTGGTACCCAAAAGGAATGGCAGGTGGAGACCCGTAATAGACCTCAAGAAATTAAACCACTACATACTCTTGGAGAGCTTCAAGATGGAATCACTGCAGACTATTATCCACGCCATTCAACCTGGGGCTTGGATGCTGTCAGTGGACCTTCAAGACATGTAATTACATATACCCATACTCCCACCATTTCAGAAATATCTAAGGTTTGCAGTCAGCCAGATTCATCTGCAATTCCAGAGTTTTCCCTTTGGTCTATGTACTTTTCCCAGAGTCTTCACAAAAGTGCTGATCAAAGTCCTAGCCCCACTACAGGAGGTTGGGCTCAGAGTATATCACTACCTGGACGATGTCCTACTACTAGCGAAGAATCCAGCCCAACTAACAGAACACAGAGAAGTTCTGATTTCCACACTGTCAGAATTCGGATGGGTGATAAATCAAACAAAAATGGAACAAACTGTACCTATCCCAGCCCATACGTTTGTCAAGTTTAATGCACAGGGGATTAGGGTGGTGGATGAAGAGAGAAATGCTTACAAGACCGCATCCATTGCGATATCTCTCCTGGCCATAGTTTCCACAGATGCCAGTGCAATCGGCTGGGGTGCACACTGTGACCAGGTGTCAGTTTAAGGAAGATGGGCTTTTCACGCAACAAGAATCATCTCAAATATTCTGGAATTTCGAGCAGCTTTTCTTGCTCTGATAGCCCTGGAGTTTCAACTCAAATGCAAGCCATTCCTTCTCCGAATGGACAGCAGTTACATACATCCAGTGTCAGGGGGGAACCGCAGCAGTTCCTTATTGGGAGAAGTGGAACCTATCATCCTTTGGGCAGGAAGGAATTTAATGGATTTAACCGCAGTCTATCAGCCAGGCCACCTAAATACAAAGGCGGACCCTTTGTCCTGAAAGTTTGTGGACACCAGTGAATGGTCTCTGCATCCCAAAATATTTGATTTGATTGTGAATCAATGGGGTCTTCCCGATCTGGATCTCTTTGCCACGGCAGACAACTCCAAGGTGCCGAGGTTCATTTCATGCCTGCCTAACCCCCAGGCAGAAGCAATAGATGCTCTCTCGAGTCTGTGAGAACCTGGCTTCCCCCCCCCCCCCCCAGCCTCTTATCTCGAAGTTCCTTTTGAGACTTCTGATGCAAGTCACAACAGTGATATCAGTCCTACCGTACTGGCCGAAACGTCCATGGTTTCCTGTAGGGGTGACTCTCAGTGTTCGCTCACCAATAAAAATCCCACTCATACCTTTTCTTCTGTGTCAGGATCAACAGACACATCCAAATCCTCACAAATTGAATCTTCACATATGGTTATTGAAATGCAGAGGTTCCAGGCCCTAGCATGTTCTTCGGAGGTTATTTCAACTCTACTCAAAGCCAGAAAACCCTCTATAATTAATATGTATGACAAGGTTTGGAACAAGTTTAAAGCCTTTTCAGCTAGCAGAAACTTCAATCCATATCTGCCCTCCACTTGTCAGATTTTTAGACAACAGACAAGATTCGCTTGTGGTCCAATTCTTCAAAGGCGTTGAGAAGCTATGTCCACCCATCAAAAGAGCCTTTCCCACCTGGGATCTGTCTGTAGTTCTAGAGGCTTTATCCAGCCAACCCTTTTCTCCATCTGAATCAGCCTCTTTGAGGAATCTGACTCTAAAAATGGCCTTTCTAATAGCAGTATCTGAGTGACAGAACTTCAAGCCCTAGGGGCGGAAGGGGACCACATTACTTTCTACCCAGACAGAGTGGAACTCAGAACACTGCGTGGATTCATTCCAAAGGTCTCTTCATTTTGCAATCTTTCAGAACCATGGGCATTTGCCAACCTTTTCAGACCCGGAATCGGGTACCCTCCATGAGCTCAACATTGCCAGTGTGTTAAGGTGTTATCATCAGTCTACAGCACCTTTCACGGATTCGTCTAATCTATTTGTCATCCCTTGGGGAAAAAACAAGGATAAGGAGGCTTTCATCAAGAACTATTGCTTCATGGATAGTCAAGTTAATTCATAAGGCGTACAGGGCCGGGGTTTGGAACCCCCCACCTCAATTAGGGTGCATTTGACCAGGTCTGTCTCTGCTTCATGGGCAGCCCGGGCAAATGTATCCATCAAGACCATCTGCAGAGCAGCTACGTGGTCATCCCAACACACATTTATGAGGCACTACAGAGTGAACCCAGGGGCTCTCTCATCTCTGGAGTTCGACAGACAAGCTATCAGGGCGGCCGTTGCCTGTTCAAAATTATAATCTTCCTACCTTTTGAATAAAACTTTTTTCTAAGCATGATCCCACCCATTTTATCTAGCTATTTATCACAGGTATGCTGCCATGGAGGCACCAGAAAAACAGAAAATTGTACCATACTTACCATAATTTTCCTTTCCTGGAGCCTATCCATGGCAGCATACAATCCCGCCCTCGATATTCTATATTACAGAGAATGCTGGGGGTACCTTAATCCTTTCTTTTTATATATTCACTGGTCCTGAGGGAGGAGTCTAAGGCAGAGCTTATCACAGGTATGCTGCCATGGATAGGCACCAGTAAAGGAAAATTACGGTAAGTATGGTACAATTTTCTGGGTTTTTTTTCACTTTGGATAAAGTAAGGGAGAGTTATAACCCCTGTTATTTTGTTTTGCTATCTGTGTCCCATAGGGGAGATTTCCCTTCACTTCCTATCCCATAGTGAAAACAGGAAGTGAAAAGTTAGGGAATCCCAGTGCGTTACCAGAACTAGTGCCCCTATTGGAAGATTTACCTTCTATTGTTCTGGTGTCAGCCCAAAATTTGGGATTTTGTTTTACTTTAAAGCCTAATGCACATTGCTAGTTTTTTCCTTTTTCGTTCAACCCAGCGGGCTGATAGAAAAAAAAAACAAATTGATAGCTCAGGAGGAGCTGCTGTACTAACTATCTAATGTTAGTACATCAATCTCCCCCCCCCCCCCCCGTTGTGCTATCGTGTTCTGACAGGGGGGGTAGCAGACCTTTTTCGGTCATGCCCCTTTGATAGAAGCCGGCTGGCTTTTGTTGGACCCGCTGCCATACACATGGGCCAAATGTCAGCCAGTTTCTATTGAAGTGGCTGATGCCGCCTTACATTCAGCCTGTGTTTACTAGGCTTAACTTTCAATGATAATGGTAAACAGGACAAATAGAGAGAGATTCTCACTAATGGGGTACAGACATCAATAAAAACTGACAGGTGTTCTAATCCCTCTCCGCTCTATCCAAAACTACAAAAAAAAACATTTTGCCTTTAGTGACACTTTAAGCACTGAGCCACATTACAATGTAAGGTCTAATGAAAATAATTTAAAAAACTGATCATGTGAAAGCAGTGATATTCAATACGTTTTATTTATACATGATTTATTATTATAATAACATTAGGACACAGTACAATATAAGGCAAAGTTACTGGCCACAGATAACAGTATTCAGATTATATTTAAGAATAGAACAGTGCAATTATTTAAGGAGTCTGATTGCATATAGTGGCAATGGTATCTTTGAATGCTATCAAATACCCAGGTAGTACAAAGCAAAAAGAAGGGAGGGTGTACCACTGAGCTGGACCATAATGAGTTACAATGTTATGTTTTAGACAAGTGGGTAAGGCAGAAATAGAGAGGAGGAAAATTACTGTGGTAGGAAAAGGTAGCATTTAAAGGGTATGGGTTGGGGGCAATTCTAATGCTGGACTAGAGTATGAGGAGAGGATTAAAGAGGAGTAAAGAGGAAGGGAGGAGACCAATGAGTGTTAGAGAATTGAAGAGTAATAAGGGAAGGATAGGCCAGACATAGGGTAGCTGGGAAACCCACCTGAGGCAGGAGAAAAGGTAAAGAGATGGGAATATAGAAGAGCTAAAAAGTGGTGGTAGTGGGGAGTAAGCAAGTGTATGTATGCCCACATCATCTAATTTTCAGAAAAATATAGCTGATAATTATATGAAATCATAATATGAGAGAAAATATAGGGAAAATGTGTGTAGCCTGGAAGAATACTTGTGACATTCATCCTCCAAATGTTTTACAAATAGAGCCCTAAGCATTGGTCAGAAAAGGAACCACGCATCTTCCAGCCACATAAACAGCCTTGATGTTCCTGTCATCACCTGGAAAAAACAAACTTGGATGATGATACTTGTTAATGAAAAGCTTAAGAGAGATCATACCCCTTTCTCATATATATTAGCAGATTAAGATTGGATGCTGCACAAGTGTAGCTTTGCCACAATAAGCTTGCGTAACATTCTTTCCTTCCACCACCTTTTTTGAGTCATCTCAAGCAGCCCCAAGAAATACCCAAGACTTCCAGGCATGTAGAAACACCTGATACTCCCTTGTGATTCTCATAAATCAGCACTCTGAATGACCGACCAATTCCAGTCTTAAACCTTTCTAAGTTTTTACTTTTTCTGGATGTGGAGATCTACACAGGAGTATCTGGGTTTGTGGCAGCAGGGGATCATATGGAAGATGTATACAGCACCTGCTATCAACTTAACCTCTTACTTTACCTACTGAGGGTAAAGTACTAAATTCACTTTAAACTGCCTCCAACCTTCTTCTGTGCTGTACAGTTTCAGTACTTCTATATAGGGTACTTGAGATTAGCTTTACTTCCTATTAATTTAACATTTAAGAATAAATGATTGCATTTTCAGTAAGTATTAATTTTGTGCTATGAAAACTAAGATGCTGATTTATCATGGAAAGCAGATATTGCTATCCGCTCTCACTTTTACACCACAGCATTGTGGACCATTCATAAAAAGCAGGCCACATTCTGAAATGGAGTTCTATCTGCCTACTGCAGCAAAGAGAAAGGGACCTCTGGAATTGGAGGACAGTCGGTCATGTGACTTTAACTGGTTTGGTGATCAGGATCCTCTCCCGGGAACCCTATTCACAACCCTATTCATTTCTGTTGCTCTCCGATGCTTTGGACTCCCAAATCCAATCGGACAATGCACATTTGTAAAGCTCATTGCTGTACTTTATAAATGTGTGTAGCTCTTTTGTTTCATTTGTTTTTTTTTAATGCAGTATGACCATATCTGTATTGTTTAAATGTATCTGTAAGTTCAAAAAATATTCCAAGTTTTGGCTGGATGCAAGTGGCCTAGCAGGAATTTTATATTACTCAGGTTATTCAGTTTTAAGAACTCTACCTTAATTCCCTGCCATCATTTTGAAGGCGTCTTAATCTGGGTACACACTATGAGGAGTTCACTGTACCAACTATGCAATGATCTACCTGCTGAGGATTTGTGTTCTGGGGGACTGCCCGCCCCACCACAACACACTGGTCAGCGCTCGCAGCCATTGGCTGTGAACGCTGACTGAATGCTGATCAGCAGATTTTTTTCCGGCATGCCTGTTCTACAGAAGATGGATGTTTGGGTGGCTTCTGTCGGACAGGCTGCTGTACACACGATTCAAATGTTGGCCGGTTTCTGTTGAACCACCCGTGTGTGTACTAGGCAATACTTTCTCTGCTCAGCTACTTTCTCAGCCAATATTTATTCACTAAATTTACATTACAACGTAAGTAACAATATAGGTGAGACAATGGCTTGGTTGTACGATTGATGCAGAAGTTACGAGATGCTGGCACTGAATTCCATGAGAAATATAAGTTACAGGGATGTTGAATTTATATCGCCCGACGCCCAGGACGTCTAGTTCCGGGCGCCGGGCAGGTAATTTTTTTCCCCACCTTTAGCCCTGCTGCAGACAAGCAGCAGGGCTCACCTGTCAGGTGGAAGCATTCGGTTTGCTTCCACAGAGTGCCAGCGTCCGCCCCCTTTGTGTGAACCTGCCCCTGCCCACTGTCTCCCGGGCTCCGCTTGCCCATCTGCGGGCCCAGGACTGGATCACCAGTGTGGGCTAGAAGGCAGGGAAGAGAGCGGACACGTCCATTCCCCTCCCCTTCTTGTCCTGGCCCAGAAGTGACGTTATGATGTCACGTCCGGGTCCCCATTGAAAGATTTCCTGGCCATCAAGGCTGGGAAAAAATGTAATGCAGTGCGATGTGAACTGTATTATATTCAGGAGAGACATGCACGGTCTTTTAGACCTTAGATGTCTCAGTAAAGAGAATCTGTCACCAAAAGTCATCACATAGGGGACTTTGTCCCCTATGTGATGAGAAAAAAAAAAATTTTTTATTGTAAAAAAATAAAAGTTACACCGAAGTACATAACATCCCCCCCCCCCAAAAGATAGAGGCCACCCCCACATATACGCACCTACAAACGTAAATACACACACTGTACACACTGAGGGGGGGCAAATAAGCGGAGCTTCCACTTTTGAGTGGAACTCTACTTTAAGTCGCCATAAAGCCTCTTTTGTGTTTAAAAGCCCCAGATATTCCTAACATCAAATACAGTTTTGGTTAAAAAAAAAATTTTTTTATCTGGACAAGTACCGGTAGATTGTCATGAGAGCAAGTAGATTGAGGCACCAATTTAGTCCCTGGACAAGTAGTTTTTAAAAAAAAATTCCACACCCCTGTAAGATGCAAGCGATTTAACCCATCCCAAACTGTCCAAGAAAACAAAAAAGAAAAAGTCCCATGGCATGATTAAAGAGTAAGCTGACCTAATAAACCACTATATTTGTCTTAACACAGAAATTTTAAGTGCTTTATTTTTCCTGACAGCTGATGGACCAAGTTGTGTCTTGCTGCCCCCTAGCCATTTTAATATGAACCATGATCTTCTCCATGGCTGGCTGTGTAAAACAACTTGGCTTGGCCACACATCCTATGCTGTTGGTGGACATAATCTAGGGTTATATACTCTGGCTATCCCCTCCAATAAAACCTCTGCCTACTTATTGGTGCAGTGCTGTTGTAATACATGCCCACAGATCAGCAATTTTTGGAATTGTGATACTGAATTGCACAATGTGACAGTAACTTTGAGAATGTAATTAAATCAGTAAAAAAAACTTCAAAGTCCAACTCTGGGATAAATTAAAAGTCCCCTTGGAGGTATAAAACAAAGTTCTGGTTGCAAAATGAATTTCCAATCCAGGGTCCTCAGGGGACTGTCCTATAATCTTTGCTTATTTAAGGTAGCACAGAGTTCAGCTTTACCTATTAATGAGACATTTACTAGAAAACTGTGTTGTAAAATCAATTAGGACTTTTATCAATGTGAGTACATTTGTTCTACCATTGATTTAGTGAAAAAGAGATTGAGTTATGAGCAGTCTGGAAATAGTTGTAGCTGAGGAAATTAATCCTATCTGTGACTGCTGTAACCTGCTGACTTGCATCTCCTCTGAACCCTGACATTTGACACCCTGACTGTAATAGAGAGAGACAATCAGAACAGCCATTAAAGGAGCCAATGACAGGGACTTTCTCAAGCAGGAGGTGCAGCAGCAAAGCATTGTGGAATATGCAGTCTTGAACAGAAACGGCCTGATAGGCTTATATGAGGAATGGAACTACAGAGACCAGCATGCTTAGTGAGAGCACAGTGAAGGACTCCATCTTGTTTTCCCTGAGGGGAGGCAGTCTGCATGTAGCAGGGAGGCAGTCTGCATGTGGCAAAGAAGTTCTTAGGGTCCATTCACTGCATGTTTAGTTATCTGCATCAGTCAGGGGAACATCCATACTGAGAGGTGGGCCTACAGTACAGTTCCTACACCGACAGTGTGGAGCACTCATCGTGAGGTGACCAGAGGAGCCTGTCGTTTCCAGGACGATCGTTTGGGCCTTAGTCACAGGATCTGGTGAGGGGGATTTTGCCCACTGGCAGATGACAGGAACACTGCACACAGACAGAGACATTACACTTTGCCCATACTCACCAGGCACTGGGTTGTGTAGATGGCCCTGCTAAACAGACACAGTATTTGCTATGCTACAGTGAGGAACAGAAGTATTTGAACACCCTGCGATTTTGTAAGTTCTCCCACTTAGAAATCATGGAGGGGTCTGAAATTCACATTGTAGATGCATTCCCACTCTCAGATACAGAATTTTAAAAAAAAATCAGGAAATCACATTGTATGATTTTTAAAGAATTTATTTGTTTTGCACTGCTGAACATAAATATTTGAACACCTGAGAAAATCAGTGTTAATATTTGGTACAGAAGCCTTTGTTTGCAATTACAGAGGTCAAACGTTTCCTGTAGTTCTTGACCAGGTTTGCACACTGCAACAGGGATTTTGGCCCACTCCTCCACACAGATCTCCTCTAGATCTGTCAGGTTTCGGGGCTGTCGCTGAGCAACACGGAGTTTCAGCTCCCTCCAAAGATGTTCTATTGGATTTACAGTTGTGGCCAAAATTATTCAACCCCCAATGCTGTAAAGGGGTTTAGGGACTATAGTGTACATTTGGAATTGTATTCAGAATCAAATCCTACAAGGACGTTGTAACTACCCAAATGCAACTAAAATGACATCAATTGTTTATGTAATACAGTAGTAAATGGTTCTTATGTGGTTTCTTCATTGCCACAATTATTCAACCCCTTAAAGACTACCACTCTGAAGAACAGAGGTTCATACAGGTGCTTTCCATCAGGTATTGAAAACACCTGTGGATGTCACCGAGCAGCAATCAAGCATAATAAGCACCAATTAGGCAGCTTTAAAATGACTGTGATACTCAGCTCCTTCTAGACATTTACTGGTGTGGTTACAAACATGGTGAAGGCAAGAGAATGGTCCAGGAAGACAAGAGAAGAGGTGATTTCTCTTCACAGGAAGGGCAATGGCTATAAGAAGATTGCAAAGATGTTAAACATACCAAGAGACACCTTAGGAAGCATCATTCGCAAATTCAAGGCAAAGGCACTGTTGAAACGCTACCTGGTCGTGGCAGAAAGAAGATGCTGACTTCGACTGCTGTGCGCTACCTGAAGCGTAGAGTGGAGAGAAGTCCCCGTGTGACTGCTGAGGAACTGAGAAAAGATTTGTCAGATGTGGGTACAGAAGTTTCAGCCCAGACAATAAGACGCACACTGCGTAATGAAGGCCTCCGTGCCAGAACTCCCCAGGCGTACCCCCTTGCTGTCTCCAAAGAATAAGAAGAGTCGACTGCAGTATGCCAAAAGCCATGTGGACAAACCACAAAAGTTGTGGGATAGTGTTCTGTGGACTGATGAAACAAAATTAGAACTGTTTGGGCCCATGGATCAACGCTATTTGGAGGAGGAGGAAGAACAAGGCCTATGATGAAAAGAACACCTTGCCTACTGTGAAGCATGGTGGAGGGTCAATCATGCTTTGGGGCTGTTTTGCTTCTGCAGGTACAGGGAAGCTTCAGCGTGTGCAAGGTACCATGAATTCTCTTCAGTACCAGGAGATATTGGATGGAAACGTGATGCAGTCCGTCACACACCTGAGGCTTGGGAGACGTTGGACCTTTCAACAGGACAATGATCCCAAGCATACCTCCAAGTCCACTAGAGCATGGTTGCAGAGGAAAGGCTGGAACATTTTGGAGTGGCCATCGCAGTCACCAGACTTAAATCCGATTGAGAACCTCTGGTGGGACTTAAAGAAAGCAGTTGCAGTGCGCAAGCCTAAGAATGTGACTGAACTGGAGGCCTTTGCCCATGAAGAATGGGCGAAGATACCCGTAGATCGCTGCAAGACACTTGTGTCAAGCTATGCTTCACGTTTAAAAGCTGTTATAACTGTAAAAGGATGCTGTACTAAGTACTAAGATTGAATGTCACTTGGGGTTGAATAAAACTGATAATGCTGTGAGCACAGAAAAGACATTTGTGGTTATTTCATTATAACTGTTATGTTATATTTGTCTGACCTACAAGTGCCTCTTTAATGTAAATGTAAGCAAGATGACTGAATGATCAAAAGCAATGTCAAACTGGCCAAAACACTCAATTTCAGTGGGGGTTGAATAATTTTGGCCACAACTGTAGGTCTGGAGACTGGCTAGGCCACTACAGAACCTTGATATGCTTTTTACGGAGCCACTCCTTGGTTATCCTGGCTGTGTGCTTCAGGTCGTTGTCATGTTGGAAGACCCAGCCATGACCCATCTTCAATGCTCTGACTGAGGGAAGGGGGTTGTTGCTCAAAATCTTACAATAAATGGCCCCATTTATCCTCTCCTTAATACAGTGGAGTCGTCCTGTCCCCTTCGCAGCAAAGCACCCCCAAAGCATGATGTTACCACCCCCATGCTTCACAGTAGGGATGGTGTTCTTGGGATGCAACTCATCCTTCTTTTTCCTCCAAACACGACGAGTGAAGTTTAGACCAAAAAGTTCTACTTTGGTCTCATCTGACCGCATGACTTTCTCCCATGCCTCCTCTGGATCATCCAGATGGTCATTGGCAAACTTCAGATGGGCCTGGACATGTGATGACTTGAGCATGGGAACCTTCCGTGCAATGCATGATTTGAAACCATGACGGCATAGTGTTCTACCGACAGTGACCTTTGAAACTGTGGTCCCAGCTCTCTTCATGTCATTGACCAGCTCCTCCCTTGTAGTTCTGGGCTGATTCCTCACCTTTCTTATCATCAGTGATACCCCACGAGGTGAGATCTTGCATGGAGCCCCAGTCCGAGGGAGACTGACAGTCGTCTTTAGCCTCTTCCATTTTCTAACAATTGCTCCAACAGTTGATCTATTTTCACCAAGCTGCTTGGCAATTGCCCCATAGCCCTGTCCAGCCTTGTGGAGGTTTTAAATTCTGTCTCTCAGAGTGGGAATGCACCTTCAATGTGAATTTCAGACCCCTCCGTGATTTCTAAGTGGGAGAACTTACAAAATCGCAGGGTGTTCAAATACTTTTGTTCCTCACTGTATATAAATACTGCCACGGGATTACAATTATACTTTACCATAGGAGTTTAAGTGCACCAACGAAAGTGGCTAGCTGAAGATCCCAAGATTCATCCTGTTACCAAGAGACTGAAGTTACTGGTGCCATACGGGGACGCGCATGCGTATTCAGGCCTCTATATATATATATATATATATATATATATATATATATATATATATACACAGTGAAGGAAATAAGTATTTGATCCCCTGCTGATTTTGAATGTTTGCCCACTCACAAACAAATGATCAGTATAAAAATCGAATGGTAGGTGTATTGTAACACTGAGAGACAAAATAGCAACACAAAATTAAAAAGAAATGCATGTCTAACAAATTATGCATTGATTTGCATGTTCATGAGGGAAATAAGTATTTGATCCCCTTCACAAAACATGTCTTAGTACTTGGTGACAAATCCCTTGTTGGCAGTCAAAGAGGTCAGACATTTCCTGTAGTTGGCCACCAGGTTTGCACACAGGAGGGATTTTGGCCCACTCCTCCTAGCAGATCCTGTCCAAGTCATTAAGGTTTGGTGGCTGACTTTTGGCAACTCGAACTTTCAGCTCCCTCCACAGACTTTCAATCGGATTAAGGTCTGGAGACTGGCTAGGCCAGAACAGCAACAAAAAATTCAAAAGAAATGCATGTCTAAGAAATTATGCACTGATTTGCATGTTCATGAGGGAAATAAGTTTTTGATCCCCTATCATTCAGCAGGATTTCTGGCTCCCAAGTGTCTTTCATACAGGTAACAAGCTGAGATCAGAAGCAGTCTCTTAAAGGGAGTGCTGCTAATCTCATTCTGTTACCTGTATAAAAGACACCTGTCCACAGGAACAATCAAACAATCAGATTCCAAACTCTCCACCATGGTAAAGACCAAAGAGCTGTCCAAGGATGTCAGGGACAAGATTGTAGACCTACACAAGGCTGGAATGGGCTACCAAACTATCGCCAAGCAGCTTGGTGAGAAGGTGACAACAGTTGGTGCAATAATTCGCAAATGGAAGAAACACAAAACAATTGTCAGTCTCCCTAGCTCTGGTGCGCCATGCAAGATCTCACCTCGTGGAGTGTCAATGATCATGAGAACAGAGAGGAATCATCCCAGAACTACACGTGAAGATCTTGTCAATGATCTTCAGGCAGCTGGGACCACAGTCACCAAGAAAACAATTGGTAACAGACTACACTGACAAGGATTGAAATCCTTCAGTGCCCGCAAGGTCCCTCTGCTCAAGAAAACACATGTCCAGGCCCGTCTGAAGTTTGCGACTGAACATCTGAATGATGCAGAGGACTGGTTGAAAGTGTTGTGGTCAGATGAGACCAACATCGAGCTCTTTGGCATCAAGTCAACTTGCTGTGTTTGGAGGAGGAGGAATGCTGCCTATGACCCCAAAAACACCATCCCAACTGTCAAACATGGTGGTGGAAACATTCTGCTTTGGGGGTGTTTTTCTGCTAAGGTGACAGGACAACTGCACCGCATCAAAGAGATGATGGATGGGGCAATGTACTGTCAAATCTTGGGTGAGAACCTTCTTCCCTCAGCCAGGGCATTGAAAATGGGTCGTGGATGGGTATTCCAGCATGACAATGACCCAAAACACACGGCCAAGGCAACAAAGGAGTGGCTCAAGAAGAAGAAAATTAAGGTCCTGGAGTGGCCAAGCCAGGCTCCAGACCTTAATCCGACTGAAAATCTGTGGAGGGAGCTGAAAGTTCGAGTTGCCAAATGTCAGCCACCAAACCTTAATGACTTGGAGAGGATCTACCAAGAGGAGTGGGCCAAAATCCCTCCTGAGATGTGTGCAAACCTGTAGCCAACTACAGGAAACGTCTGACTTCTGTGATTGCCACCAAGGGATTTGCCACCAAGTACTAAGTCATGTTTTGTGAAGGGGATCAAATACTTATTTCCCTCATGAACATGCAAATCAGTGCACAATTTGTTAGACATTCATTTCTTTTGAATTTTTTGTTGCTATTCTCTCTCCCATTCAATTTTTATACTGATCATTTGTTTGTGAGTGGGCAAACATTCAAAATCAGCAGGGGATCAAATACTTTTTTCCTTCGCTGTACATAGTGTGTGAGGGAATAGCTTTACCTTGGAAAGTAGCTATTAAGCATCAGTTGGGTACAGTGTCTGCCTATTGGGGTTGTGGTGTCAAGGGTTAGAAGGAAGAAGTCTGACACAACAGAGAGTCATTCTTCTGCTCTCCTCCTGCTTGGACATCATAGAGCCGAATTTATGTAAAGGGCTTTAGACCCACTTTGAGTTTGCCATTTAAGTGTTTGCCTCTGCTCTTGGGGTTATTCACGGTTGGAATCCCCTGAAAGCAGCCTGAGTGTAAAAGTGAGCTATATTGCTTTCGGTCACAGTATTTGTTGTTCTCTTGATTCACCTAACGTATACCTGTTGTTAATGTTTATTGCTTTCCATAGAGGTCTTACAGTAAAGCTGATCTCTGTGTTTTATTATAAAGTGTGTGCTTTTCATTGGTCCTTTCACTTACACTATTGCCAGGTGTGTCAGCTGGGGCTGAGACAGTTCTTGGGGTTGAGAGGCAGAGTGGCGGAGTGTACAAACTTAAGCAGCCCCTGCGGGGGTATCGCTTCATAGTATAGCTTTTTTATATTACTATTCTGCTTTAGTCTTTTTTTCTTTAAACACAAATCTAATGTTGCTAAGACACCATATTTGCAAAAAAAAACCTGAGCCATAAATAATACAGTTATTTAAATGATGCATACAATTATCTAGCATTGCAATACATACCTAGATAGAGGAATCTCTGGATCATTTCCTTAAAAAAAAAGAAATAAATTAACTAGAAAGTGTATTTGTATTCTTTAAATATATTAATTTCAAGGCAAACAGCTGATATATTGTTGAAAAGCATGCAAGAGAACAGCCAGAATAACCTGCCTGAAGATTTGTATTTTTTTTCAGCTAGTCTTGTTGATCTAATAAGATACCTACCCACCTATGGCCAACTAGTGCTAGGGCTACATTGAGGAACACATTCTTCGCTAATGAGAGTTATAACTACCCGTTGGCAGTAGCTTAATTTGCAACACACAGACATTCATGTGCTGCTAAGAATATAAGTAGTAGCTAAATATCAGTACAAAGAGATAATCATCAATGTATTCCTAGCTTTAGAGCTGTGGAACTCTTGCTGCAGTGCATACAGGCTCCTTATGAGCCCCACTTAAAAGGTATAATAATATATGCTTTTGCCAATATGTATGCAGAATCAACAGCCAACTGGATACTCAGAACACTATATAGAAAAGCACAATGTCAGATAATATGAGGCAATGTTTCCCCACAGTAATCTTTAAAGTCCACAAAAAAAGTCATTCCAGACTTCCAAGCACATAAGAAGAGCAATTAGCTTCCAGGTAATTGGTGACAATATACTTAACCAGTTAAGGGCCTTGGATGTATCTCATATGTCCTGACTTTGAAAGGGACAAAACAACCAGACTACCCCCTCCCTGTGATTTCCAGACTCTCCCAATCCCCCCAGGAGCCTAGAACCATACTAAGCTATGTAAGGATGGTTAGGGGAGGGACATTGAGGAACATCCATTCTTCAATGTCCTCTGCAGAGTGTAAACCCAGATGTGCTCATCTCAGAGTACTTCTGGGTTTAGAGCAGTCACAATTTAAGCTGCAAAGCAGGTAAACAGTGGATCAAGTACAGTCTGTGTTTTATTGGCTCAAGAAGAGGGCAAAAATGACATCAAGGGTCAAACAGACCTCTCCATAAACAGTACCTGTCACCTGCCAAGTGCTATGACATAGGGAGTTTATTAGAGCAGTAAAGGTAAGTGAAAAAAAGTATTAATTTGATTAAAAAAATGAAAATAAAAAAATTAAAAAGCACTTCTGTCTTCTACTGCACACACAGTCAAACACTCATATACATGAACAATATTGGGTATGGTTGCATGCCAGAGTGAGAAAAATAATGCAACATGCTCTGTGATTGGAAAAGATGTGGGTGATTGTTACAATCTTCCTCCTCCAATCACAGATGTCTATACATTAATTGAAAAGAATGCATGGCTTTTTATGAATGAACAAGGTGCCAAGCAAAAGACCCTCAGTGATCAGTATACTGAGTGTACTGCAATGGGAACTAGAAATCTCAGCATCAGATTATTATTATTATTATACAGTATTTATAAAGCGCCAATAGTTCGCTCAGCGCTGTACATTACAAAGGGGGACAGAACATGTGACAGAACAATAACAATACAATGCAAAACATGAGGGGATTGAGGGCCCTGCTCTTTCGAGCTTACAATCTAGGGGGGAGGAAATGGTGGCACAGGAGGAGATAGCTGTGGGGGATGGAGTGGTAGGAAGAGTGGAGGAGGTCGGCAAGTTAGCAGGGGGTGGGGTAGGCTTCCCTAAAGAGATGGGTTTTCAGGGTGCGCCTAAAGGAGAGGAGAGTAGGTGATAATCTGATGGGTTGGGGCAGGGAGTTCCAGAGGATGGGTGACACCCTGGAGAAGTCCTGGAGGCGGGCATGGGAGGAGGAGACCAGGGAACTAGAGAGAAGGAGGTCTTGTGAGGAGCGGAGTGTGCGTGCTGGGTGGTACTTGGATATTAGGTCAGTGATGTAGTTCGGGGCAGTGTGGTGGACGGCTTTGTATGTCAGTGTTAGGATTTTGAATTTGATCCATTGCGCAATCGGAAGCCAGTGGAGGGATTGGCAGAGGGGGGTGGCGGAGATGGAACGGTTGGAAAGGTGAATGAGTCTGGCTGCCGTATTCAGGATCGACTGAAGCGGGGATACCCAGCGGCGAGTCAGGCCAGTAAGGAGGGAGTTGCAGTAATTGAGTCGTGATATGATGAGGGAGTGGATGAGCTGTTTAGTGGTTTCTGGGGTTAGGAACGTGCGGATTTTGGCGATGTTGCGGAGGTGGAGTCTGCACGAGCTTGTTAAAGATTGGACTTGGGGCTGGAAGGATAGGTTGGAGTCCAGAATGACACCAAGTACTCTGGCCTGCGGGGTGGGTTTGATGGTGGCGTTGTTGGACATGATCGAGAAGTCAATGGGGGGGGTGTGCGGGCGGGGGGGAAGACAAGAAACTCGGTCTTGGAGAGGTTCAGTTTAAGGAAGTGGAGCGACATCCAGTCAGATATGTCGCTCAGTAGGTGTGTGATTTGGGCAGAGACTGAGGGAGTGAGGTGGGGGGTTGAGAGATAGATTTGTGTGTCGTCGGCATATAGGTGGTAGTTGAAGCCGTGAGAGTGTATGAGTTGGCCAAGGGAGGAGGTGTAGATAGAGAAGAGAAGGGGCCTGAGGACAGAGCCTTGAGGGACCCCAACAGAGAGGGGGAGTGAGGGGGGAGGTGGTAGCATTATAGGTAACGCTGAAAGAGCATTGTGACAGGTAGGATGAGAGCCAGGAGAGAGCAGAATCTCTGAGGCCGAGGGAGTGTAGTTTTTTGAGGAGGAGGGGGTGGTCGACTGTGTCGAAGGCCGCAGAGAGGTCAAGGAGTAGGAGCACTGAATAGTGGCCATTAGCTTTGGCGTTTAACAGGTCATTGGAGAGTTTGAGTAAGGCAGTTTCGGTGGAGTGTAGGGGACGGAAGCCGGACTGTAGGGGGTCGAGGAGGTTGTTGTCATTGAGGTGAGAGCATAGGCAGGTGTAGACTAGGCGCTCGAGGAGTTTGGATGTAAATGGGAGCAGGGAAATGGGTCTGAGGTTGTTTGGGTCATTGGGGTCCAGGGAGGGCTTTTTAAGTATGGGGGTGATGTGTGCATGTTTCAGAGGGGAGGGGAAAGTGCCGGAGGAGAGGGAGAAATTAAAGATGTGGGTGAGGGAGCGTAGGATGGAGGGGGAGGGAGGTCGTAGGAGTTGTGAGGGGATAGGGTCGAGGGGGCAGGTGGTGAAATGGGCATCAGAGAGGATCTTGGAGACTTCCTCAATGGTAGTAAGATCAAAGGTGTGAAGTGTTGGGGGGGCTTCAGTATGAGGAATGAAAGGTGGGGTGGAAGTGGAGGTCAGAGCAGTGTGTGGGGCTGTGGGAGAGGGGTGATGAGGGGGTAGCTGAGTGAGGGGGAACAGGGTTGGAGGGAGTTTGAGCAGCGACGAAGTCCCTGCGGGTTATGTCGAGGGAGAGGGGGGGATGAGGGGGTAGCTGTGTGAGAGGGGACAGGTTGAGAGGGCGTGTGAGTTGCGGCAATGTCCTTGCGAATTCAGTGCTGACAGGAGGCTGCAGCCTGAGTAAAAGTAAGATATATAACAAACGTTGCAGCAGCCAGAGATGGGGCACACATCATTACAGCTAACTTATTTGTACTGTGCAAATGCCAAAATTAATTTTTGCCCATATTTCATCTTTAATGTATACAAGGTTGAAAATATACTGTAAGTCATTTCTTTCCTAAAAACATTACAAACAAATCCAATCTTGGTCAAATATTCTGAAATATGACTTTTGGTGAAAAATACCTCTACAGGGATATCAGAAAATACTTCAAAGGGACTCTCTATAGCTTCAGAGTCAATTAGCAATGCATCAAATTCCTTGCCAACTTCAAAGTTTCCAGTTATGTGGTCAATACTCAAAGCTGTGAAAAAATCAAGAAGATAACCTACTGTCACAAAAATCAAAATTATACAAATGTAATAGAGTTTTATAGAGTCTTAAGTCACATTAGCTCACTGCCTATTTGAAATGAAACCTCTGGATTAACTTCATCATAACAGTAGCATATCTTCTGTTAATGTTCTTAAATACTGGCTGCCAAAGTTGTGGACTGAGATGCATTTGTGTCTTTTGGTATATATTGCTCTGTCCTAAGTAAGGAGGTCAGAAAAAGTGTTCCATGTAGTAAAATATTCACACAGCCATACCACAGTTCACTGCCAAAACCAAAACTCAGCAAATTGGATTGGAATGGACACTGGATCTGAAAAGTTTTGATTCATGCTATTGTAGTCTTGTGCCATAAACATGGTTTTTAGGCTGCTTTTTTGGGCCATAGGTGACAATCAGCAGCTGAGGAACCTTGGATGAAAACTTGATGTGCAGTGGATAATATAGTGCCAAAAGAATAGATCACTCAAATGATCAGGTTTGGTAAAACCGTTCCTTATACGATAACCAATGCATTTTGGTGGATACACAAGTTACCCTTCTTTAGGGTTTTGGAGTGGCAACTGTCTAATGTTATTGTTGTCGTGAGTACCAGATAGGAAGTGCCAGCATAAAAAACCTTTTAATGGACTATATGGGGTGCATAGTGTGTCGTAGGAGCTTACCAGATGGGGACTTCAATACTGCCCATACACATTAACAGCAGCATTTATCTTTCCTTCAAATCTTTTTTTTATCTCCTGTATGTATATATTCAGCTTACTGAGAAAGAAAAAAACAAATCCTATATTCTTAAAAATAATTTATAGTCCCAGAGCTGCTTGGGTCATCAACAGTTTTCTGTATAAAACTGGTTGTACCTGTTCAGAATGTGTATGACAGCCCCGCAAATTGCCATTTATGTTAATTTTCTCACATGATGCTGTAATAATGCTGTTTAGATAGATATGTTTCTTTCTGCATAATTTGGCTGGATATGACTGTTATTTAAAATATTTTGATTTGTTGACAGTGGATCCCATTTAAATAAGTAAACCAAAAGTATGCGCATGTGCACATGGAGTATCATTTTTCATGGTAGTGTGAGATGTCTGTCTTTTAAGCTGAACACTGACCTTCACTTCCACCAAGAGTGGCAAGTCGGAATGCCTCTTTAATATTTAAAACATGATTAGCTGCCATTTCCATTATGCTATTTTTGCCATTTGAGTTGATCCAATTTGTGTCCATCTTCCCTTTCTGGAATGTGTCTATCGCATTGTTTTCCTTCTGTCCCTTTTGCCTCTCCATGAAAAGAATTTTGGAAGTTTCTATTGCTTTTCGGATGGCATCAAGCAGGGATATAGCATATCCTCCAGCAACATCTGTTAGAATACAAATTGTGGAATCATATTACATTTTGAAACAATGATTTTATGTTCCTTTACTTGTCATTCAGTTTCAGAGAGCTTACACAAGGGTGTGGACATTTTTGAAAAAAATACTTGTCCAGGACTAAATTGGGGCCCCAATCTACTTGTCCATCATGACAATCTACTTGTCCAGATTAAAAAAAAAAAAAATTAACCAAAATCGTATTTAAATCGGAGGTGATTTTAGGAAGGTCTGGGGCTTTTAAAAACAAAAGAGGCTTTGTGGAGACTTAAACGTATAATATTTTTAACATTGTGCTGTTTATCTCCTCCTCCCCTCCCGGCCTGTCTCCAGCACTGCACCCGGGGAATGGCAGGGAGCAGAGAGACCTTGCAATATAATGAGCACCGATTGGCTGCTCTTCAGGAATGGGTTGGTCAGGGCTTATACTTTATCCCTTTCACTGCCAGAGCTGTTTTTGCGTTTTCGCTGCCAGAGCCGTTTTTGTGTTTTTTTGCACATGTTTAAAAAATAATTTTAGGCCTGAAGATTACATAAAACCCCCAAACATTATATATTTTCTCAAAGCAGAGACCCTAGAGCAGTGGTCGGCAAGCCGCGGCTCGCGAGCCACATGCGGCTCTTTACACGCTTTAGTGCGGCTCTTCTGTGCCGGGCGCCCACTCCCCCTCCCTCCTCTCGGGCGGCAGGGACTCTGCAGCGTGATCCAAAAAAAAAAACAGCCAGGGCAGCGTGCTCAAATGCAATGATTGGCCAGTCTCGCTGCCACTCACATCCTGATAGCCAGTGATTGGCTGTCAGGATGTGTGTAGGTGGGGCAGCGTGACGAACGTGAGAGGAGCTAGGCTCCTCTCACAGTCCGCCCTGAAGACCGGAACGGCGCGGGAACACGGCGAGAGGAACGCGCGGAGCAAAGGTAAGTGAATTGACACAGGGGGGACTTGGCTTACTACTGGCTACTTAATTACTACTACTATATAAGGGATGAATTAATATGGGGGATGAATTAATATAGGGGGGATGAATTAATATATGGGGAATGAATTACTATGGGGGATGAATTACTATGGGGGATGAATTACTATGGGGGATGAATTACTATATGGGGGGATGAATTACTATGGGGGATGAATTACTATATGAGGGAAGAATTAATATGGGGGATGAATTACTATAGGGGGGATGAATTACTATGGGGGATGAATTACTATAGGGGGGATGAATTACTATAGGGGGGATGAATTACTATCAGGGGGATGAATTACTATATGGGGGATGAATTACTATGGGGGATGAATTACTATATGGGGGGATGAATTACTATATGGGGGGATGAATTACTATGGGGGATGAATTACTATATGGGGGATGAATTACTATATGGGGGATGAATTACTATGGGGGATGAATTACTATATGGGGGATGAATTACTATAAAAACTTATTGAAACTAAAAACAGTGTACCATCCTATGTATTTTCAGTTTTAAAAATGTGGCTCTCAAAATAAATTTCAATCGTGGTTTTCGCGAGATTTGGCTCAGTTGAAAAAAAAAGGTTGCCCACCACTGCCCTAGAGAGTAAAAGAGTTGTAATTCCAATATTTTATGTCTCATGATATTAGCGCAAAATTTTAGTAAAAAATACAAGTAAGCTAATTTTAGGGCACAAATAAGCAATAAATTGCCTTATTTTTTGTAAAATATAAAATATGAGCTTGCAGTGAGTAAATAGATATCCAAATGTCAAATCTTAAATTTGTGTGTGCTCATGAAATGGCGATGAACTTCAGTACCCTATATTTTCTATAGGTTGACATTTTTCAAGCTCCCTATAGGTCACCAGTTTAGAGTTACGGAGGAGATCTGGTGCTAGAATTATTGCTCTCATTCTGGCATTCGCGGTGATGTGTATCGCAATCGACGTTTTTATATGTGAGGGTGGGGGCCTCAATATTTTTTTGTGGGGGAATGGTATGTGCTTGGGTGTAACATTCATTTTTTACAGTTAAAAAAAAAATTTTTTTTTCATCACATAGGGGACAAAATCCCCTATTTGTTGATTTTTGGTGACAGGTTCTCTTTGAGACATGCATGTCTCCCCTCTGCTTCACTGGTGATTGCTTTTTTCTGGGGATTGCACTACAATCTTTCAACGGGGACCCAGAAGTGACATCATAACGTCACTTCTGAGTCAGCACTCCCCTTTAGCCGATGTTGAGACAGGCCAGCAGATGGGCAAGTGGAGCCCAGGAGACCTCACACCAGGGGCACAGAGAGGGTGGCACTGTGTGGAAGCAATCGGCAGCAGCGCTGCCGCCCAAATGCTTCCACCTGACAGGTGAGCCCTGCTGCTTGCCCACAGCAGGGCTAAAGGTAGAAATAAACTATCTACCTGGGGCCCGGAACTACATGTCCCGGGTGTCGGGTGATAGGAATCCAACATCCCTGTTACATAGAAGGTTTTTTTAAATATTAGGTGGAAGTCTAGCCAAACTCTTAAGTTACTGAAAGAGAGGAAACATTCAAGCTTTTGTCTGGTATTTCCCAAAGTTTATGTCACAGCAAAATAAAACATATTATCTCCTAGATTGTAAGCTCGAAAGAGCAGGGCCCTCAGTCCCCTCATGTTTTGCATTGTATTGGTATTGTTCTGTCACATGTTCTGTCCCCCTTTGTAATGTACAGCGCTGAGTGAACTATTGGCGCTTTATAAATACTGTATAATAATAATAATAATAATAATAATAATAATATAATAATAATATTCAATACATCTCTACAATAAATGCACATTTCCCCATACATTGTTTCTTGTTGGTAGTATTGGTAGTATGATAAAATGCCTGTTGATCTGCCAGAAATCTAGTGAGCGTCTAATTTCTTGTTGATTGACAACACTGCCTGTTGCCCTGAAATCCCAAGCACTGTTGTCAACTAGACTACAAAACTCTTCCCTCTTATGTTATAGAGATGAAGAGAGGGGCAGAATTTCTGTAGTCCAACAGAGGAAAATTCAGAGTAGCAGAGGTGACTCGTCAGTTCAAATAGGAAATAAGGAGCTCACTGGATTTTTTCCAGATTTGCAGATATTTTTATAGTTGCAGTGTTTTTAAAGGGGTGAAATATGTAGAAACAGGCATGTAGTGCAGAGATTTAAAGATTGGGTGGTGAATAACAAGGTCATGAAAAAATCATTCTTGCACCATTCTTTTTGACATAAAAATGGAGCAGATGCCGATTAATATAAAAGGGGTGCAAGCGATTAGTTCTGTGCTCTGCTATGTCTGTGACAGGCAGCACAGAGAACAGGAGAGCTGGAGCTGCATGCCCTGATCTCTCTGCCATCCCTGCCCAGCTCATAGTGGGAGGGAGGAGGAGGGTTGTTAGCCCTGCAGGCTCTGCTTGTGTAGTGTGATCAGTGCATGGATAGAGTGTCAGGGCAGGGGCCGAGGAACGGACAGGCAGGCCTAACAATGTAACGCACTGGCTGACGACAACCACTACCCACAGACCTAAGTCCCTCAGGGCGCGGAGTCTAAGTCCCAGGCTGCCCTTCACCAGGGCCCCTGATTGTGGGGATGGACTTGACGCAGCCAGGAACCAGGTCGCGGCCCCCGAGACACCTCAGCTGCGGTAATGGCCGCCGCCAATGGCGTGTAGCTGGTGGAAGAGACAAAAGAGTAGTCAGACAAGCCGGGTCAACAACAACAGGACAAAACAGTACAGGACAGCAGATGAGAATCACAGGTCACGAGCCGGGTTCAGCAACAGAGGGTCAGATCAAGGGAGAATGCAAAGAATAGTCAAGTCACAAGCCGAATCAGATACCAGGAGAGTCACGAGAGTCAGAACAGAGTAATAGCAACACAAAGACACAAGACACAAGTGCAAAGAGCATGTGCGGGCCACAGGCTTATATGTCATCAGCCACACCCCTCTGGGGGATGGACCACAGAGACCTGAAGGCATAAAAGGATTCCCATCATGCACAGCAGAATCCAAGATGGACGCCAGCACATGGAGTAACATAACCTCAGGGAAAAGGTAGGACCTTGACACAGAGAGAGGGATGTGAGCTGTTTATTGATAGCTCACATCTCATAAGACCAAGTCACACCTGGGGAATCTGTGGCAGTTTTCTCAGACAGAATATGTTTTAGGGGTAGACTTGTGCTAGTTTCTATTTCACTATGTCATAGAAACTGACATGCGTGGTGTAGATAAACCTACAACAGGTCTATCTGCTTAGTTCATGTGGAACATGCCACTTCTGGCTGCTTCAAAGTTGTGTTTTTTGCCTTTGGAACGGCTTACTGCCTTTACTGTATTGTTTTTTCTTCCTAGGGATGCAGAGAGTAATAAACACTCAAAATAGGTTCAAACCATTCCGTCGCTCTATCTAAATCTGCCAAAAAAAAAAAAAAAAAGTTTGGTTGAAATTCAACTTTAAAAGGATTATATGACCAAGAAAACAGTTGGAATATGCAGCAATTCAACAAAGTTACGCATTTTCTCTGATTTGGCATGAGATTGGATTATTGTTCCAATATATTACAATATTCTCTGGGGTGCCACTATATTGAGAAACTGATATCCAGTGACAGAACGATGTCAAGGGTCCCCAGTTGTATAAAGCTTTCGGCTATGTTGAAAATGTATAAAATGCTATGGAAACCAACTAATCCTTGCTTGTTTTCAGTCTCCTCTACAACACTATGAGCTTGTGTCAATCAGTTGAACTGCAGTACTCATGTGCTAACAAAGTACATGCTAATAGGAGGAGAGAACAGAGTACCAGGTGGTTTTTCAGTCTGCTGCTTCTCCTTCACTGTCCAGCCACAAGCTGGGGGAGGGACATTCCCTTTAAGTAACTAATGCAGCCATAGATGGGTGCAGTGGTTTTGGCCGATTAACGAACTATCGGTCGGTCTATAAAACTTACCTGACCATCAATTATTACGAAAATCGGCCCGATTAATGAGTAACCTATAACGGGAAATGATGTCATTTTGTGGCCTTTGGGATCCTTTTTCGGAAAACGATCGTTCGTTTTTGACCATCAATGAGGATAAAGTCGGGCGTTTTTCGAAAATTTTCCAACATCACCGATAATCTGAAAGTCCAAAATACACGAAAAACGGCCGACAAAATCGTCCACTAACATAAGCAATCGGCCGGTTTTATTTTCGGATGAAAAATCGGCCGTTTTTCTCCCCATCTATGGCCTGCATTAAAGTGATTCTAAAGGCTTATTTTTTTTAACACAAACAGTCTATAGCCTGTGTGTGCAGTGGTTTTGCACCAGCCCGGATCCTCTCTTCTAGGGTCTCCCACAGGCTCCCTGGCCCCTCCCAGCAGTTGGGTGCCCCCACAGCATGCTTTCCTGGGGGCACCTGCTTCTCTGTGTGTCAATTCTCAGCCAATGAGAAGAGGGAATCCTGGGAGAGCTGAGACTCCAGAGCACATCACTGGATCAAGAGGGGGCTTAGGTGAGTATTAGGGGGGGCTGCTGCACAGAGAAAGTTTTTACCTTCATACATAGAATACATGAAGGTAAAAACCTTGAGCCTTTACAACAACCACTTTAAATGAGGTAGAGTAAAATCAGCTCTCCTTCTCTGCTAGATGGAGTTGTGCTGATGGCAAAACTGTTTAAACGCAAGACTAGACTAACAGATATACAAAGCCTTTGACAGGTAAAACAGCTCTCACAGACGTATTTCATCTGTGTATTTAGTTGTTTGCCTGGACATATTTAGCTTTTATCTTGGTATGTTATCCTACTCACTTAATTAAAAAAAAATCATAAAAAATGTTTTGCTTACCAGTCCCAAGTCCCAGTTTAACCTTATGCTTTAAAATGTTTTGGACATCAAGATGGCCACTGCAAAGGCTAAACAAAACAAGATGCAAAAATGAATGTAATTTATACATAATAATTAACAATGAAAATTTTCTACAGAGGCCATACATTAAACCTAACCCATGTTCTTGACAAAGTGTTTATTAATAAATCCAATAACAATTTTACAATATAGCATATAAAGTGAACTTTTTGATTAGTTTTGGGGTGTGGAGGGATTAGAAGTTCTGGCAGTTTTATATTGCCATTGCTCTGTCGAAGAATTCTCTTCACCCCATGTCTCAGTGGCAGTGGTCACTAAGACATCATTCTAACATACTGCAGTATATAGATTTTTTTATACAGAAGGGAAAGGTTAGATCATTTTATTCATGGTTCCAATTCCTGTCTGCTTTCCTCCCTGTTTTTGTACCAATTGCAGAGATCCTAAAGTGAGAAAAAAATATATCCAACAGAGACCCAGGCAGCAGCAAAAACACGATAGAAGTGCCAACCTTTCCATTCTCTGTCCAAAACTAATGTCGTTTTACTGGGGAACTTTCAAGAGAAGGCTATTCAAATGTAGCATATCATTAAAAAAAACTGAATATAAGGTTATGTTCACTAAAAAACACGTTAGGATGATTTATAGAAACACAGCTACAGCCAAATGAAGTTATATACACTTTTCCAAGCTCATCTTTTGTAAAATTTGAACTTGGCCCCACCCACCTCTCAAGTCTCCCTATTAGCCCTTGAGGCTTCCAATCATTAGGCCAATCAATAAGAGGCTTGTGTTTTCCACTTGGAGGCAGACTGGCCAAACAGAAGTTAGTTGGCCACAGAGACAACAGAGAGCTATAAGGGAGTCTTGCATAGTCAGTATACCCTTTGGGAGAGCCCAGCATGGCGGCATGTACAGCAAAGATGACAGCTTTTAGAAGGGCCGGGAAAATAAAAGTATATGTGCTACAAACATGATTCATTAGGAAAAGTGATCTTAATGCCAGAACAATAAAAGTATATGTGCTACAAATATGGTTTATATGAAAAATGTTCTTAATATATTCATTTTGTATTTGTATACTTCTAATACATATTGTGATATTCACTTACGAAATGTTTGAATTTGGGCAATGTGATATTGCAGCCCCTTTTTCTCTGAAAACAAGTAGCTCTTCATTGGAGAGGTAGCAGCCATGTGCCATTACTGTCTGAAAGCAAACAAGCAAACACATGAACGCAAAGGTTTGGACAGCCCCATATGGTGGTTGGCAGTCTAAGCACAATCTGACTGCCTAGGGTGGGACAAACTTGCAAACTCTGCTTTACAATTACAGAAAGGTGAACTGGCAGAAGGAAGGAGCTGTAGAAAGATATATTTGGTGTAGGATTATCTACAAAGGAACAGTAGCGATCAGATAAGGCTTTCAAACCTGTCTGGTTTATCGTAACCCCTACAGAATTAACTGCCTGTGCTACCTGCACATAAAATGGCTATTTGATGCAGCCACAGCTTTATTTCTGCATAGCTAGGTCTTAGTCTGGGGAGGCAGGGCTGTCAGTGTTTGCTCATGAACATCCATACCTTATGTTTCTGATCATCAGTGACACATTTCTATATATGAAAATGTATTCAAGATGGCTGCCCTATCTGCACTGTATACTTAAAGTTCATTCACTCGAAATCCATACAGCTGGAACTGAAAAGCTAATAGGGTAGGAAAATGGTTACCCTACCCTAACAATCCCTAAAACCCTAGTTGTTTCTTTTAGATCTTTCAACCCAGCATGGGCAAACTATCTTTACATTGCCCCTGTAAAGACTTAGTATATACCCTCAGCCTTAGATAGATAGATAGATAGATAGATAGATAGATAGATAGATTTTTAGATAAGTAGATAGAGAGAGTTTTTTTCTGGCTGAATGTGCCAGAATGGTGTTCCGGTACCTCTGCCAGTCCCAGAGACAAAGAGGGAGTGACTCTATTGTTTATCAGGGTGGCCGTGCAGATGCAGCTCACTTACTTCTGGCTGCAGCCTGAGAGAGCAGAGTCTGCACTCTGCCTCTCCCTGCAGAGTGTAAGCTGGTTTTGGTGCCATTCACAATTCAGCTGTGAGGAAGAGCTGCGGAGCATGTGGGAACCGGTAAGCCTGGCCTGACTGACTGCTTAGTGCTGTGGACTGGAGACAAGACATTTTTGGTAAGTTGTTTGACACTGTTGCAGGGTGGGGCTGTCTGTTAATGCTGCTTGGATGTGGGCCTGTGTATGACTGTCTCTTTTCTGGATTGGGATGTCTCTTTGCTGGATTGGGGATGTCTCTTTGCTGGATTGGGGAAGGTCTTTTTGAATATATGGGGATGAGTCTTTGCTGAATATTTTGAGATGTCTCTATTGGTTATGGATGGACTTTTGATCAAAGTCTGCTTCTGATCTGCTGCACTTTGTTTGAACTAAACTTTTTTCCTAAATAATGATTGTTTTACCTACTCAGCTTGGATATTAGTTTTTATCTCCTGTCTGACTCCTGCCTTGAACTCCTGTCAAAATCTCCTAGCATACTTATCTCTGCCTGCCCTGACCTCTGTTAACTCATTATTATTATTATTATACAGTATTTATAAAGCGCCAATACTTCGCTCATCGCTGTACATTACAAAGGGGGACAGAACATGTGACAGAACAATAACAATACAATGCAAAACATGAGGGGATTGAGGGCCCTGCTCTTTCGAGCTTACAATCTAGGAGGGAGGGGATGGTGGCACAGGAGGAGAAAGCTGTGGGGGATGGAGTGGTAGGAAGAGTGGAGGAGGTCGGCAAGTTAGCAGGGGGTGGGGTAGGCTTCCCTGAAGAGGTGGGTTTTCAGGGTGCTTTGGTAATCTACTTGGTGCTAAATGATTAATGCCAGAAAGGAAACTCTTGGGGCTGCAGACTGGGAGTTAATTTGCAGTCAAACCAAACCTCACCAAAATGGGCTTTGGTGAAGATAGACACTTATAGAGCCTTTGCTTTGCCTGAGAACCTTTCACTTTACTATAGTTATGTAGCACTACCCCCAAGGATCCGCTAGAAGATGCTCAGGGTTCTTTTTTGCAACAGTTGCCCCACAACCAGGAACACAGTCACTCTTTGGCTCATTGAACAGTCCATGGGTATTCTTTTTGGTGTTTTTATTGTTTAGCTAACTTGGATCGGGTTAGGGAATTGAGTGGGATACTTCAAAACTATGTACAAATAGGAGGACACTTTTTCTTCTGTAGAACTATGAGCCAAAACCTTGATGGACTAAGTGTTGTTGCAGCAACTTGAGGAGATTATTCATCCTTTTTGGACAGTCCAAGCAAACTCCTTTCACTATGGATTAAATCCAGGACTTTGGACACTGTCCCATTTACACACATCTAACTCTGTAACACCAAGGGGGGGTGGCAACAGCACACAGTCTCTATGACCTCTCACAACTGTCTGTACTCACAAATGTCTTCAAACGATTGATTGTCTCCTTCCACTGTCTTCCAGACACTTTGTTTCTGTGATACCAGACTAGATCCACAGACGAGAGGCCCCTCGGTCAGCTCCGTCAACTTCCAGCAAAACCTAGTCCCTTAACTCGCCCAGCTGGGATTTCGATGATTGGGAAACACATGGCAGGTTGCCTAGGAGGCAATCATCCCCCCCGCCCCCAGGCTGTGATCTCCTCCTCAGGACAAGACAATTCTGTTCCAGGTCTATTTATACAGTTTTGCAGCAGCCATCTGTGCACTCTCCAACAACAGAGATTGGCTGAGACAGTATAAATATTCATGCTGCTTATTTGCCTTACTTCACACAATTGCGTGGTAACACAAATTACTAATCTCGCCAATCACATGGCAGCAACTCAATGCATTTAGGCATCTAGACATGGTGAAAACGACTTGCTGATGTTCAAACCGTGCATCAGAATGGGGAAGAGAGGGGCATTAAGTGCCTTTGGATATGGCATGGTTGTTGGTGCCAAATGGGCTGGTCTGAATATTTCAAAAACTGATGATCTACTGGGATTTTCGTGCACAACAATCTATAGGATTTACAGAGAATGGTCTGAAGCAGAGAAAATATCCAGTTAGTGGCAGTTGTGTGGACGAAAATGCCTTGTTGATGTCAGAGGTCAGAGGAGAATGGGCAGACTGGTTCAAGGTGATAGAAAGGCAACAGTAACTCAAATAACCACTCATTACAACCAAGATATGCATGCAGAATACCATTTCTGAATTAAGGCAGTTCTGAAGGCAAAAGGGGATCCAACCCAGTACTAGAAAGGTGTACTCTATAAAGTGGCTGGTGAGTGTATGTACCAGAACCATCCAGAGGGTTCTGGATTTTAGAAGGAGCAATCAAACCTGCAGCCTGCGAAACACAGAACAGACCTGAACAATCACAAACTGCCATACCGATTACAGTGAGCCAAACTACATTTACCTAACAGCAAGATTGCAGCTCCACTAGATACAGTGAGGCTTTTACCTAATCCTAGCACCTGTCTAGAAGAGTGCTACACTTACACAGAGCATCCACAGAATACATTTTAAACAGTGACCCTGTTTGACCTTTTAGTGAGCACCTCCTCTGCAATTACAAAAAATAAATAAATAATCAGACTTCTCTGTGATTGCAGCAACACTGAAAATATGATCCCTATTTGCACCCTCAAGAAAATTTGTGGTGTGTAGGCTTTTAGGGGTTAAAACATGTGGTGAGGTTGTGACATATCACGTCCTCATCACCTTTCAAATGCCCCCTGAAAAGCAATATACCATGGATTGCTCTTCAGAGAGAAATTCATGTGTAAATGGCTTGTGCCCCTTTAAAAACTGCAAGTGCAGAAAAATACCTGACATCTGCCAGAAATCCCGTGTGCTCCTAACTTCCTGTTTGTGCTGCAGTGCTTCTGCTTCGCTAAAATCTGAAAGCAAAACTGCACTATGTTTGAGCACCACAAACCAAAAATTCTACTTATTCATTTCTAATATTCAAAGCAGACTCACCCCTCCATCCATGTCTCCATATTTTATTTGTCTGAGAAATCACTTTTAAAAGCACCCCCTAGAATGTGGCCATCTTGAGTAGGGGCAGATGATTTATGTAGCATTTACTTCCTGGAATACAATTTCTCTTAGCTCAGCCGTACAGGCAAGAGGGTGTACTTAGCTGAGAAAACCCTTCTTCCCCTCTTGAAGTCTCCTGGAATGTACTGTATAACATAACTTGCCTAGGCATGGAAACCAGGAAGTAACTGAAGAAATATATATATATTGTGGGAACTTGCTTCAAAGTGGTAGAGCTTTTAAATGCACACAGCTACTTGCTTTCTTTAAAGGGCCTTTTTGCCCACTTTTTATTTAAACGAAAGTTCAAAACAGAAGTTTTCCCACACAGGGGTATCCACCAAACAAAACAATGATTCAGCCTCCTGGCTTACACTCAGCTTGATGTCTGTCTCCTGCAGACTTCTTCAAGAATTATGGCCACTAGCACACCGCTGGCCTCTAGCACACAGCTAGTCTCTAGCAGCCCCTTGCTGCTTTTGGCTTCCACCTCTCCTAGGTGAAGCCCACCTGACTTCCAGGCAGTGACCTCCTGTCTTCCAAGTGGAGCCCTCCTGACTCCTATCTGCCGGGGTGGAGCCCTGCTGACCCCTAGCTGCCAGGGTGGAGCCCAGAACCCTGGTCCTGACTCTCTCTAAAGGCCTGCACACACCTGTGCAATCAGTCTCCTGGCCATTCCCAAAACCTGGTCCCAGGATTGGAGATTTCATCCCTCCCAGATCTCTTTGAAATCTCCAGGCTCCAGATCCCAAAACAGACTTTACGAACAAAGGAGGAAAGTGAAAAGCCACTTTCCTCCATATCAAACCTTTACCCTGGAGCCCCTCAACCTGCCTTGTTGAGAATCCAGGGTGACAGATTGCCACACTGTCACAATATATATATATATATATATATATATATATATATATATATATATATATAAAACGTTTTAAACAAGTGAAAATAATATACATTTATATCTATTTACGAATGCTAGCAGCATAAGGATTAAAAACAGTCAATGTTGAGACAGTGAGGTTTTGCTTTAAGCTCTGTTTTTAGCCTTGGTCAGTTATTCACTCCTGGACTACAAAACACCTCCTTCTCCCTTCATCTCTATAAGGGGAGGGGATGTTGTGCAGTCCTGCAGGGATTTGTACTTGTATTGCAGAGATGTAATGAATATGTGTTTTGTTTTCTATTAATTAAAGTGAATACAGTGTATCTTTAGGTGAGTGACGGCATATACGTACAATTCTAGCTTTAAAGTAATGCTGGACCAACTACTCAACTCACTTTGTCTGTTAGAAGCTTATTTCTGTTATATACATCAGTGTAGTTCTTGTAGCCTGGAAATCGGTTTAACACCTCTTCAATCTCTGCAATAGACTCACTGATATGGCTCTGAAAGGGAAAAAGGGAATAATGTAAAAGTATATACTGATAATGATGCTATAACTACATTTTATTTAAAACAACTCCTAAGAAAGTATACCAAACTGACATATTCATAACTGATATAAAATATCAGTTGCAGTAGAGGTTATTATATACAGTATGTGTGGTAGCTTGAAAGACTTTCTGTTTTTTTGCTGATCATACTAATTCCATCAAATACCAGAGGCAAATGACATTGTGACAATAATTATATATTAAACAATAATAATATTGAAGTTCTTTGAGCCATATCAGTCATAGAGCACCGCTATAATTATGATGAAAAAAAAAAAGAGTACAGTGTCCTAAAAAATAATATTCATCTAGAATTTATAGGCGCAAGACAGATTTGTCTTGTGACTAATGCAACCACTGTATTGTTTTCTTTTTCTTTCCAGCTCTATTAATTATTATAATTAATAATAAAATATTAGACAAAAAAATTTGAAAAATTGCTTTTTAACATTTGTCTTTTTTTTTTTTTAAACAGTCAGCATGCGAAGCCCCGGGCCCTTTTATTGCTCTCTCCATCAAATATTCAGCCATGATCACATAATAATAAAAGCCTATTGTTTCCAGGGATCACTTGATCTAGGTGAAATTTACACACAGACTGCATTCAGTACATGACTTATCCCACATCCGACAAATCAGTATATTGACTCAGAGAGAGACAGCACTGTCTGAAAAGGAACTCTCTCCCCTGTGCTATATCTTTAGCTAACCCATGATGCTTTGTGAATCATTTGTCATTCATGCAACTTTTCTTTGCAAAACAAAAATATCTAAAACATAAAACTATCCAAAATAAATTAATAATAAGACTAAAACAATATTTACATTTTTAAATGACCTAAATACAAGGTCTTTTTTCTTCTGATTTTTTTTTGTAATACATACCTGTATATGCAGCTGGTGCTCCTCAGCTAATGTGCCAAGTTCATTCAGCAACTTTTCACTGCAGGTTACTGCGAACCTGGGAGTTACAATGGGTTTTACTCTGTCATACTGAGAAAGTCATCAATATCACAATGATTAGATGATTATACATGTAACAATGACAGTCTGCATAGAAAGAAATCTGAAAGGAAGACAATGAAGCAAGTATACCTAATTCTTCACTTAAGAAGTATCAAACAATCTACAACTCACTAATGCTGAAAATAAAAGCATATGAAACCAAAAAAATCACCCGTAAAGTGTATTTGACTATGTATAAACATTATGAAAAAAAAATATTTCCAAATGTAGACACTGTCAAATATTTGCAGAACAACACGCTAGGCAATTTATCCACTGAGCTGTTCTCTGTAATCAATCTATTTTTGGAAGACTGTACGTAATAAATGTAAATCTACTTTGCTGTATATACTCTCTTTTAAAGTGTTTTTCCTCATTAAAGTATTAGAGCACACTAACATTTCAACAGTAAAAAAAAATGATGTTTGTACTTACATTAAAATCTTTTTCTGCCGCCTACAGGAGGTTGGAATACTGGCAAACATAAAAAAGTTTAAGCCAGATCCTGTAAATACCACCTCTAACCATCATGCCTCAGCTTTGGGAGCAATACTGAGAGGCAGAACCTGTGTCCCTCAATAGACTTCAAGAAAATAATTTTACAATACAAACATCTTGTTTTCTTTATCATCCATTAAGGGACATAATACTTAATTTATTCTGAAGTGAGACTTCCAAAATCAGTCCAATTGAGGGGTAGGTAGCAGCCATGGAGAGGTCCAACAGATGTGGAGACCATTCACAACAGAGTATCTGAAGGAATTAACACCTGAATCAAGGCTACATAAAAAAGAGCCATGCCATGCAAAAACAGGGAATCTGGCATGACCAAAGGGAGGGCACCCAGGATCAACCTATTGATCTAGATCAGGCCAGAGAATTACCACTAAGGGGAAACTGATACCTGAGGAATGATGCACCCCAAACAGCAAAAATCATAGGACCAACCAACCATCTACCAAAAAAACGTGGAAACATGCTACCTGAACAGGAGAAAACTAATCTAACAGCTAATGCATACCATATCCATGTCCAAAAAGAAAGGGCAGCTGGTCAACAGCAGAAGTCTTAAGCTTGGCATTCATAATGCTTGACTTTACGGAGAAGAGGTTTGGACAGACATAGCATTTCTTAAAGAAAGAACAGCTGGTCAACAGCAGAAGGCTTAAACTTATCGCTTCTAACCCTGGATTTCAGGGAAAGAAACTGATCCCACATCCCCCCACCACCACGGCTACTCATCCCATCCTCCCACAACTGCCACTGCTGCCACTCATCCCATCCCCTCACCGCTGCCACTGATTCCATTCCCCCAACCACTACTCCCACAGGGCTGCCTGGACAATGACAACATGGTTGGAGTTATGTTAATAGTAAACTCAACCCACATCCCTGAGACTGCCACGCCCTCCTGTTCCTGAGCCAGTCAATAGGAGGAGGAAAGAGGACCTGTCATAGGGAAGGGGATTAGAGACTAGTAACCCCACCCCCCATTACTGAGCCAGCTCCGTCCTCCTGTACCTGAGCCTTACACTGGCCAGTGGGAGGGAGAAAGAGGACCTGTCATAAGGGAAGGGGATCCAGAGAAGGCTAAACTACAAGTCCCAGAGAAGGAGGGGAAGGGGCAGAGGAGCCCATAATAGGCAACAAAGTTTCAATTGCACCCAACCACCTACTATCACTGACCTCTGAGGGCCCATAATATTCTGTATATGACAATAGAGTATTATATGTGACCAGGGGTGTAACTACAGGGGTCACTACAGCCCAAAGCTCCAAGGGGGCTATGCCTTGCCTCTTTACACCTGGACAGGAAGAGCATCAGGGGTGAAATATACAGGAAAAAATCCCTTCCATTTTCCTCCTGTAGCCACTGAAAGCCATCTTCTCTTCCTATCCCTTCTTCAGGCATTTAGCAGCTGCAGGAGGAAAATGGAGGGGAATTATTCCTCTACATGCTGTCCCCGCCACACCTCCTATCCAGGTCCTGCTGACTCAGGCCCCAGGATCAGGGGGGCCCTTCATGATTTCCTGCACTGGGGCCATGAAGGTTCTAGATACGACTCTGGCTACCAATACTAGATATCTGGCAATTTGCATCTAGACAAGGTTTGCAGATAATTGGACTTTCAGCATGGCTTAAACTGCAGGAATCCAGGAAACTGACTCTCCTCAGGAAAGGTCTCCTGAACCAGTGTGAACCAAAGTGCACTATGCACTTGAGCAGACATCAGCCCCATGTGAGACACAAGCTTAGATCACAGCTAAAGAGTAGGACTACAGACATTTGTTCCAAATGCTCCATTAAACCCTAGAGATGGAGGTATCCACAGTATAACTTAATGTGAATCACAGGTGTTCCTACAGTGAGGAGAGACCACTGTACAATAAATTCCCTCACAAAGAGGAAAAGCTCTGCCCAGGGGCGGACTGACAACTCATGGGGCCCCCGGGCAATAGGGGATCATGGGGCCCCTGTGTCCTTGCCCAAACTCAAAAAAGCCTATGAAAAAGGTACCAGGGGACATCTCATGGGGCCCCCTACTGACCCCGGGCCCTCGGGCAGGGCCCGTGTTTCCAAATGGTCAGTTCGCGCCCCTGGCTCTGCCACATTCTCAGCAGGTACCCACTATCGTACAAGGTGTTTTATGTGCACATAGAGAAATGTTTTAAACAGTGGGTGTAATGGGGCAGTCTTTGCAGCTGTAGACGCTCCAAAATGAAAAACTGTACCAACAAGAGCAGACTGATCCTCTAAATGTAGGGTAGTTTGTGTTATGGCAACTAAAGAAGGCACCCCTTGTAAATCTGAATCATCTGCAGATGGCACAAAAACAACCTTTGTAGGAGTATATTATGAGGACTCCTTACCACAGTTAAATCTGCAGTGCCAGGAAATTCAGAAGCTGCACAACAATAGTGACTGTGAGGTAGCTCTCACTGTTTCAGCCCAACTGGCCTTAATCACTAAGCGAGTCTTCAGATACAGGATAACAGTTGAGGCTGTGCCGCGATTCTGGACTCAGATAGCGCTCCGTGGCTAATTACACATTACAATAAGGTCTGAAAAGCACCACACTCCAGAGCCCAGTGCCCTGAGATCACATTGCAGGCTAGCCTTCCAATCCAGCAGGGTTTGAGTACAGACTCCAAAGCTGTTGTTTAGGATATGCCAAAATCCAGATGGTTGCTATGTAGAGACCAACTAGAACAGTGATATGGAAGTCTCGATTGTAGTAATACAGGGGTGCAATAATACAGGGGCTGGCTTCAACTTTTTTTTTGTTTCCCAGTGTCCCAAACTGTATACAGCAGTATAACCCAACTGTTTCAGAATTACCATGTCCATCAATGGACGATAATGGGCCCACCATGGGAATTAATTTAATTTTAATAAAAATTAAAATGTCATTGTCTAAACGTGACTCTTAAAAATAAAAAATCAACAAAATAAATATTTTTATATATATGTTTAAATCTTATACTCACTTTTTTCATTTTCATGACTTCAACAAATCTAGAAAACAATATACAAAATACACTTTGATCTATAGTTGTAAAATGTATTTTCAAACCAAAGGTAATCGGTAAATGTGGCTATTACTTATCAAAACTAAGATCCTAATACAGTCCATATTAAGGAACATATTATAGATATACAGTATAAATGTATTTGAAAGAATTAGGATTTATGTAGACGAGGGTGCGCATGCCCACTCAACAAAGCCCAAAGGATAGAGCCTAGATAGAACTACAGTATATTAGGACTTTATTACATAAATTCATTATTATATGTGCTGTTATTTACTTATAGGGAGAGGTAAAAGGAAGAGGGTCCCCAAAAGCCTACACTCAATCTGAGAATAATTCTCACAAAAGAGTCATGGCAACCATATCATAAATTAAATAAGGTATAATTAAATGTCAAAATAACATTTCTTACCTATGTTTCCTATCTATATCTGGATACATCTCCAGGGGTGCAATCATCCCCAAAAAAACATGAATCAGTCATCCAGTCCTGTTGCTGCTCATTAAACCTCTGTGTGTGCCATTCAAAAACAAAAGGAGGTAACCATTGGGTACGCAAACCTACTCCCCAGCAAAACCATGTGTACCCAAACATTTTAAAAATAAAGTAGTGCACGAAAAAGAAGAAAATACCCTACGTTTTGGTGGGGAGTAGGTTTGCACACCCCCATGATTACCCCCTTTAGTTTTTGAGTGGCACATACAGAGGTTTATTGAGCAGCAACAGGACTGGGATGGCAGAATAATGTTTTTTGGGGTGGTGATTTATTACTCCCACTAAACGCTATACCTGAATGTGAACATTGTATTTACAGTGTGCCCTAGCACTTCCACATCTGGAGATGTATCCAGATATATATGGGAACCATGAGTGTGAAGTGTTATTTTGACAATTAATGTATACTGTAGCTACAAGTGTCCAGTGGGAGTTTACTTCCACTTTAACGGCAGTTCAAAAAAACTGGCTTTGCTGTCTGGCAGAGCTTTATAGATCTCAGGAATGAACACATAAAAATACAAAACCTTTTGCAGTATATCAGTTTCCACACATAATTCATCTGAATATTTATCTGCTTTCAACTTAACACAAAAACCCTTTACAGCAGTATTAAACCAAATGCCAACATTTATTTTATTGCAGCTTATCAATTCTTAGATGTGATGGCTGCATTAGGTTTCTTTTCTTTTTTCTTTCATTTATTTTCACCTGCTGATCCAGCCAGTAGGTCTGTTTTTTTAACAGAACAAGCTGCCTTGCAGATATAAACCAATCTAGCAGCACCCAAACTACCTATACCAATTACTACCACACCCTAAAAGAAAAGTCAATCACTTTCACCCTTGAAAGTAAACGTAAAAAATATATAACCTTTTCTCATACAATTAACCTATATCAATAACCAATCATGAGTGTCCAAAATGTCCTCAATCACAATATATTCAAAAAATATAGATTCAGTCTCCATCTAATAAAGTTTTTCTTCCTCCAAAATAAATGTATGTCTTTACTTTATTCCCCGTGATATATCCAGATTTTCTTGTACCTAGACACGTAATAAGGTCCGGCAAAGTCTCGGATTATACCAGATGATGTACAGATTCCCATGTGACCAATGATCCTACTCTGCTCTGCCTACGCAAATGCTACTGTGGACACAATGCTAGCATAGGGGAAAAGACACAATGGGGGAGAGCTACCAGGTTCAGGTCTGGCTACTGACCCAACAATACAACAAACAAGAGATACCTGTGCTCCTTTTTTTTTGCCTTGCAGATATATCAGTTAGAAGGTTGAGACACATCATTTATCACTGGCAGGGGTGCTTACAATGGTCAGCTTTTATTTATGTATGTAACATTTGTATGTGTAACATCCATCTAACATTACTCGACTCCAAGGCTAACAATGCCGTCATCCAAAGGAGTTTCTGTTGCTCTTTCATCCAGAGTGGTGTCTCACTAATAGAGGAGGTGTGTTACTGGCCAGATCACCAGGTGGAAAAAGTGGAAAAAAGTATTGAAAAAGAAAACAAATGCAGCCACCACATATAATGATTGGTAAACTGCAATATGTTACATTTTTGGTTTTTGGTATAATACCACTTTAAAGTGCAATGGTTTAGACTGGTTTTGGTGTGTAATATACCTAAATTACCTTTTGGTTTCCCTTATAGACTCTTCAGTGGTTTCTTTATATTTGGGGTATGTGTTATTGCTATCCATGCAAACTTTCCCAATAAATGCTCTCTGACCATATTGACCTATAAAACAAAACCATATTGTGTTACCTATACATGAGGCACTATTTTTCTTTGTCAGAAATATATATATTTCATACAGGAAACTCAATAATATTGTCAGTAATTTTGTTAGAAAGGACTTTTGTGTTGTTTACTAAATCAATAGATATAGGTCTGTGTAGTATGCATTTGTGTAGGTTTGTTAGGTGTAAGGGGTTTGAAGGCAATAACTGTGATTCAGACTGTTTGAAAATAAATGAATGCAATTACAATAACTGACAAATTATTTATACACTTGGCACTGTGAACATGACATTATGTTTTACACACAGTCATGTCCAGAGGCAGACTGACCATTTGGAAACTCGGGCACTGCCCGAGGGCCCGGGGTCAGTAGGGGGCCCCATGAGATGCCCCTGGTACCTTTTTCATAGGCTTTTTTGAGTTTGGGCAAGGACACAGGGGTCCCATGATCCCCTATTGCCCGGGGGCCCCATAAGTTGTCAGTCCGCCCCTGGTCATGTCCCACAGATCCAGCATCACTAACCTAAGCACATAGTATATCATGAATTGAATGGACTGGTGTCTTTATTCAACCTTACCAGCTATGCAACTAATCTGTGTAATCATATATTGTCTTAGAATTTGTTGTGGCCTAGTTCTCTTTTCTGCTTTATCAAAATATACTGTAGCTGCATGTCAGTTAGGTGAGTCTAGGCAAACTACAAAAAAAACAATCCAATATCCAAATCCAGAAAAAAAGTGATTGGCTTGACCTATACTTTAACCACTTTACCGCCACAAGATTTTACCCCCTTCATGGCCAGTGCATTTTTGCTATTCAGTACTGCGCTACTTTAACTGGCGATTGCACAGTCATGCGACACTATACGCAAAGTAAATTTATATAATTTTTTCACACAAATAGAGCTTTCTTTGGTGGTATTTGATCACCACTTGGTTGTTTATTTTTTCCAATATAAAAAAAAAATATTCTGCTTTCTTTTATAAAACATATCCAATAAAAAAAATAAAAAAAATCTAATTTCTTCATAAATTTAGGGCAAAATGTATTCTGCTACATGTCTTTTGTAAAAATAAAAACCCAATAAGTGTATATTAACTGGTTTGTGTGAAAGTTCTAGCTTCTACAAACTTTGGTATAGATACTGGAATGGAATTTAAGCAGCTATGACACTATACTGGTAATGATGGTGACCAGCAAATTATAGTGGGACTGTGATAGTGTGGCAGACAATCTGGCACTAGCTGACTCTGGCTATGAGGTACACTAACTGACTAACTGACACTGACATCAATAGTAGCACTAATACAGTGATCAGAGCTAATACTGTATACTGTCATAGTACGAATGTCACTGGCTGGGAAGGGGTTAACATCTAGGGTTAACTGTGTACCTAACAATGTGTATTGTGTGTAATATGTGCTGCTTTACTGTGTTTTTTCCTCTCTGCTTTGCAGGGAGAAGAAACAGGCAGAGCACTGTTCACAGCACACAGAGTTCTACACCGTGTTCCAAATGATTATGCAAATTCTATTTAAGTGTCACAAAGATTAAATATTTAGTTTTTCAGTTTAACTCATGGATGGCATTGTGTCTCAGGGCTCTTTTGATCACTGAAAACAATCTCGGACACCTGTGATAATTAGATTGGCCGGTGAGCCCAATTTAAGGAAAAACTACTGAAGGACGGTGTTCCACATTATTAAGCAGAGCACCATTTTCAAGCAATATGGGGAAGAAAAAGGATCTTTCTGCTGCCGAAAAGAGTGAAATAGTTCAATTCCTTTGGACGAGGTATGAAAACATTATATATTTCATGAAAACTTAAGGGTGATCATCGCACTATTAAGAGATTTGTGGCTGATTCAGAGCACAGACGGGTTCGTGCAGATAAAGGTACATTGAGGAAGATTTCTGGCAGATCCATGCATCGGATCAAGAGAGCAGCTGCTAAAATACCATTACATAGCAGCAAACAGATATTTGAAGCTGCTAGTGCCTCTGGAGTCCCACGGACATCAAGGTGTAGAGTTCTCCAGAGTCTTGCAACTGTGCATAAACCTTCTATTCGGCCACCAATAACCAATGCTCACAAACAGAAACGGCTGCATTGGGCAGAAAAATCCATGAAGACTAATTTTCAAACAGTCCTGTTCACTGATGAGTGCCGAGCAACCCTGGATGGTCCAGATGGATAGAGTAGTGGATGGTTGGTGGATGGCCACCCTGTTCCAACAAGACTGCGACGTCAGCAAGGCGGTGGTGGAGTCATGTTTTGGGCCGGAATCATGGGAACAGAGCTGGTCAGCCTCTTTAGGGGCCCCGAAGGTGTAAAGATGACCTCTGCAAAGTATGTGGAGTTTATGACTGACCACTTTCTTCCCTGGTACAGAAGGAAGAACTATGCTTTCCGTAATAAAATCATCTTCATGCATGACAATGCACCATCTCATGCTGCAAAGAATACCTCTGCATCAATGGCTGTTATGGGGATAAAAGGAGAGAAAGTCATGGTGTGGCCTCCATCCTCCCCTGACCTCAATCCTATTGAGAACCTTTAGAGCATCCTCAAGCAAAAGATCTATGAGGGTGGGAGGAAGTTTACATCCAAACAGCAACTCTGGGAGGCTATTCTGACATCTTGCAAACAAATTCAAGCAGAAACTGTCCAAAAACTCACAAGTTCAATGGATGCAAGACTTGTGAAGCTGCTATCAAACAAGGGGTCCTATGTTAAAATGTAACGTGACCTGTTAAAATTTTTACAAAGTTAAAATGTTGTTAAAAGTTTGATTGAAATAGCTTTTGAGTTCAGTAAATATGCTGCAAACACAACAAATGACAATTTTCAGTTCTTTACAACCTATAAAGTGTTTTGAAACTTACTGTGCGTAATAATTTGGAACAGTGCATTGTAAGTGTTTTATGTTTAAAGAAAATCCTGTTATCATTAGGAGGTTTGTTCAATAGAATTTGAATTGTACTCTTAATAGTTGATAACATGAGAATTATGCTGACTGTTATTTACATCAATTATTTAGGTAAATGAGAAAAATATCATTTGCATAATAATTTGGAACACGGTGTATGTTTTTGTAAACACAGAACTATGTGTGTGATTGGCCACAGCCAATCAGCTGACTTCAGCCAAAATCATTGGCTGAAATCAGCTGCCAAACTTGTGCTGTGTCCAATCACAAGTCAGCAGGGGGTGCAAGCATACGCTCCTCGAACCTGAAGAAAGCCTGGAGCTGCTGCCCGCTCACAACTGCTGTGGGTGGGCAGCAAGTGGTAAATGAAGTCATGAAACAACATACATTATATTGGGACGCCTGCCCAAAAATATTGGGACGCCTGCCTTTACACGCACATGAACTTTAATGGCATCCCAGTCTTAGTCTGTAGGGTTTAATATTGAGTTGGCCCACCCTTTGCAGCTATAACAGCTTCAACTCTTCTGGGAAAGATGTCCACAAGGTTTAGAAGTGTGTCTATGGGAATGTTTGACCATTCTTCCAGAAGCACATTTGTGAAGTCAGGCACTGATGTTGAACGAGTAGGCCTGGCTTGCAGTCTCATCATCCCTAATTCACCCCAAAGGTGTTCTATCAGGTTTAGGTCAGGACTCAGGCCAGTCAAGTTCCTCCACCCCAAACTTGCTTATCCATGTCTTTATGGACCTTGCTGTGTGCACTGGTGCATAGTCATGTTGGAACAGGAAGGGACCAACCCCAAACTGTTCCCACAAAGTTAGGAGTATGAAATTGTCCAAAATGTCTTGGTATGCTGATGACTTAAGAGTACCCTTCACTGGAACTAAGGAGCCAAGCCCAACCCCTGAAAAACAACCCCACACCGTAAATCCCCCCCTCCACCAAACTTTTCACTTGGCACAATGCAGTCAGACAAGTACCGTTCTCCTGGCACCCGCTAAACCCAGACGTTCAACAGATTGCCAGACAGAGAACCATGATTTGTCACTCCAGAGAACACGTCTCCACTGCTCTAGAGTCCAGTGATGGCATGCTTTACACCACTGCAACCGACACTTTGCATTTCACTTGGTGATGTAAGGCTTGGATGCAGCTGCTTGGCCATGGAAACCCATTCCATGAAGCTCTCTACGCACTGTCATTGTGCTAATCTGATGGCCACATGAAGTTTGGAGGTCTTTAGCTATTGACTCTGCAGACAGTTATGACTTCAGCGCGCTGTGTGCTTCAGCATGCGCTAACTCCGCTCTGTCATTTTACATGGCCTACCACTTCATGGCTGAGTCGCTGTTGTTACCAGTTGCTTCCACTTTGTTATATTACCACTAACATTTAACTATGGAATATTTAGTAGCAAGGAAATGTCAGGGATGGACTTATTGCACAGGTGGCAACCTATCACAGTACCATGCTTGAATTCACTGAGCTCCTGAGAGCGACCCATTCATTCACAAATATTTGTAGAAGCAGTCTGCATGCCTAGGTGCTTGATTTTATACATCTGTGGCCATGGAGGTGATTGAAACACCTGAATTCAATGATTTGGAGGGGTGTCGCAATACTTTTGGCAATATAGTGTAGAACTGCATCTGACCACATGAAGCAGATTAGGAGCATAGACCCTTAAGGTGATATTTTATAAAACCAAAATTGCACTTCAAAACAGCAATGTTTGACCTGTGAAAATTTTAAATCATGGATTGGAAACCCCCAACATGTGTCAGGGATGGCAGTGAACACCTTTTCTGCCAGCATGCTATGTCAGGATTTTCCCCACATGCAGAGTATGTGATGAGAAATAGCTTCCAGTGCACTGGTCCTCAATCCACCTCTTCCAACCATCCTAGGTGCTAATATGTGGCATCACATACAAGTACCTGGTTTGGATGCAAGAGATAGACGCTAAAACAGATAGTTGTGTCTCACTGCTGCTACGCTGTGAAGCTCTGCATATGGGGGGAATCGCACCCTGTCTTAAATACTAGTGACCTTTGCACTCTGCTCTACAAAGTACTGTACTGACCCCTGCACTCTGCATTATTTACCCCTGACCCTTGCATTCTGCCCTACAAATTGCCTGCCTTTCATGCTACTGTACCCTGAACTCTGCATTGCATAGTACAGATCCCTAAACTCTGCCCTATAAACTACTAGCCCATACAATCTTTTTACGTACTATTTTCCACTGTACTCTACATTACATACTACTAAATACTGTACTCTGCCCTACATAGTACTAACTCCTTTTCATGCTACTGACCTCTGCATTCTGTATTACAAACCACTGATCCATGAACTCTACATTATATACTACAGACACCTAAACTCTGTGCTACAAACTACTGACCCCTGCCCTCTGTTTTCCATACTATTGACTCCTGCAGTCCACCCTACATACTACTGGCCCTGTACTCTGCTGTAAATACTACTGATCCCTGTATTCTGCCCTACATACTACTAACCCCTGTACTCTGCCCTACATAAAACTAACCCCTGTACTCTGCCCTACATACTACTAACCCCTGTACTCGCCCTACACACTACTAACTCTTGTACTCTGTCTATATAGTAGTAATCCCTGAATTCTGCATTACATACTACTGATTCCTAAACTCTTTGGTACAAACTACTGAGCCCTGCACTCTACCTTACATTCAACTGACACCTGCACTTTGCCCTTCATACTGCTGACCTCTGCACTCTGTCCCACATACTACTAACTCCTACACTGTGCCCTTCATACTGCTGACCTCTGCACTCTGTCCCACATACAACCGACCACTGCACTGTGCCCTATAAACTAATCATCTCATCTGGACATTTTGTTTTATATATCTAGCATTCTCAATTTCTAACAAACATTTTTAAAAACACTATTCTCAAAAGGTTGACATAAGAACCATTAACAGTGCAGCACAATAAAATATAATACCAATAACTTATAGCAGCAAAATATGTATCAAAGTCCACATATTAAACAAACCACCAACATAAGTGGATAGATCAAGATGTGTTATATAAGTGACAAATTGTTCACTCCGGTGCTGATAAAGTGATTGCTCCCGTCACCAATTGCAATTGTGGCTGCTCACCTTAAAGTGTTACTAAACCCACAACAGTAAAATCAGTGTGTATATGCAGTAAAGCATGTTTGTTATACTCAATGTGGAACCTAAGGGGTTAATCCTCTGCATTGTGTAAAAATGATGTTTGATCCTGACTTCTCTGATCCTGCCCTTCTTCCAGTGCCCCCCTCTTATCTCCTGACAAGACATATCATGTGGAGACACTCTGCACATGCTCAGTTTGGTGTGTATTGCTAGAGAGGTGTTTTTTTTTTCTTGGGAGGGTGTGTGTGATCAGTACAGGGCCAATCACCACTGTCCAGACAGATGCCAGGGGTTCTGCATCCTCCTAGAAAACTCCTCCTACAAGCTTTAACCAGTGCTCTGCTGAACACTGGTAGAAGTCTGCTTTAACTTGTGATGAGAAAAGGTATTTAGAAGTTTCTATTTACTAAAATAATTGCATTTCCATGTAGTGTATACTGTGGGAGACCAGATATAGTGAATGCAGGGTCCTGGGTTTAGTAACACTTTAAGGATATGACCCTGAACTAACAGGATGGTAATATGTTGGGACAGTCACTTGTAGGCAACTCCAATGGTCCAGGCAAGTAGAGTCTCAGGATGTATCAAAAAGAATAAAATTGCACTTACAAAACTGGCACTTCAGTCCAAGTGCATAGATCAGATAGCATGTACGAAACAGCAAGATAGCCGTGATGTCAGCGAGCATGACTCCTCCTCCTCCCGTACGCCTTACATCCTGGGCGGGACTCTGTCAGCGGGGATGGAGCCACATTATACACCCGCATACACATATATCAGTGCCATTGCCATAGAGACAGAGACGCCAGGAAAAAAAAGGATCGAAACGGCCTTACCTCTTAAAAATATACAGATATATCTAGTAGCAAATCTGCACTCAGTGAAGATATATCTCAAATAATTCCATAAAAAAATAGCTACTTATTATGCCTAAATTTTGGTAAAAACCATAAGTGGCTCACCGTGACCCCAGAGAATGAAAAACAAAACATGCACATTTGGGGACACAAGAAAAAAAAACAAATATAAAAATGTGTAAACATAAAAAACACCCGCAGCTATCTTTCAAAAAAGAATAAATAAATAAAATATTAACGATCAGAAATAAAAATTTAAATTGAAGTCAACATTTAAGCCAGTGGGGAGTAATAACTTTCGTCTCGTTAATCCAATAGGATACTCTTCATCTTAATTGTCCACCAATGTCTGTTGACCTTCTCAATAGCATAAAACTTTAGAAGGTTGCCTACTCCTGTTCTTAAGTTTGAGTCTGTTTGGAAGCCTTCCCAGGCATATAACATAGTGGACTAATTACCAGAGCCACATCAAACAAAAAACAACCATATAGAGATTTAAACTGATTATCACAGTGTTATTAAATAAACAGAACATTTAACCACTTCCAGTCCGGAGACTTTTACCCCCTTCCTGTCCAGGCCAATTTTCAGCTTTCAGCGCTATCACACTTTGAACGACAATTGCGCGGTCATGCAACACTGTACCCATATGAATTTTTTTACCATTTTTTTGAGACAGATAAAACTTTATTTTGGTGGTATTTATTCACCGCTGGGATGTTTATTTTTTTTTGCTATGTAAATGAAAATGTCCAAAAATTTTGAAAAAAAGTGTTTTTCTTATAAAATTTTGCAAATAAATAATATTTCATCATAAATCTTGGCCAAAATTTATTCCGTTATCTTTTTAGTAAAAATAAGCCAAAAATTATAATTATAATTTTTAAACTTTTTTTTTTTTTTTTATATTATTATTTATTTTATTATTTATTTATTTTTTACATACTGTCACCCTAGCAGTACAGTGTCACCATGGTGACACTGTACTACTTGTGGGGGGTGCTAAAGATTTTTTTTTTTTTTTTTTTTTTTTTTACACTGATTGATTTTACACCCATATAGGATGTAAAAGCAATCATTTCTCTTTCACTGTGTCTGCATTCTTGCAGCCATTGAGAACTACAAAGTGAGCTGTGATTGGTCACAGCTTGTCACATGGTACAAGGCTGTTGTGAATAGCCTTGTACCATGTGACCTCTGTGATCATTCACAGATTTCACACGTAGTAAGCAATGATGTCCGAAGTGACATCTTGCTTATTACTTTGCATGTGATCACTGATTGGCCAATCAGTGATCACATGATCGGGACCTCGTACAGAGGTCTGGTCCAACGATTGGTGTTTCACTGTGTCCAGAGGACACAGCGGGCACTGGATCGCTGTGCTGCGCGCTCCCGGGGAGCGCGCACAAGCAGGGTGCAGGGAGGCCGTTTATAAACGGCCACCCGACCCTGCAGTGCCACCGTTTATATACAACGGCCGGTTGGGAAGTGGTTAAATACTGTATGTACCTATTGCTTTTTAATAGGATTTATAGTGTGTAAGTTCTTACTAGCAATGTCAGCCAATACAATAGAAGCATCAGTGTGAATTGTTGCAAAGTAGCAAGCTGTTGTTGTGCCATTCTTAAGTGTTCTTTTCTGAAAGAAAAGAAAAGAAAATTTTAAAACAATGAACACCAGACCCATGAAAGGAACTACATTTGAATGAAGACTAAAACAAATCATCATTCGTTCAACCTCACATGTGTGGCACCCTGTATGGAAGCAATTATCATTCTTTGACAATTTTTATTTATTTCAGGTACTTATATAGCACTGTTAATTTATGCAGCGCTTTACATATATATATTGTAGATTCACATCAGTCCCTAACCCTCAAGGGGTGTACAATCTAAGGTCCCTTAACTCACATTCATACATACATATAGTAGGGACAATTTAGACAGGATCCAATTCACCTACCAGCATGTCTTTGGAGGGTGGGAGGAAACTGGAGTACCTGGAGGAAACCCACACAGGCACAGGTAGAACATGCAAACTCCAGGCAGGTGGTGCCATGGTTGGGATTCAAACCAACGAGCCTAGTACTGCCAAGCAGAAGTGCTAACCACTAAGCCACTGTGCCACTAGCAATGATTGATGTGCATAAGGGTTTATATCATCCAGCGTTCCACCACCCTCGGCAATAATCACATATAGTATGTCCCCTCTAGTTGTATTCTATGGCTGGGCCAAGTGTAAGTGTGCCTATTTAAAAGGATACCATAATCATTGCCACCCCTGATTAGGCTGGGTGTAAAAACTTCCATTAGGCCGCATGCATACCTGTTTGATGCGACACGTCACTTTTGTTACCTCGTTTTTTTTGGTGCATTTGTTCTGCCATTGGCTCATGCTGCTATCAATCAAATGGTGTGAAGAGGGATCAAGGAGCGGGCCAAGCCACATTGTGTGTGTGTCAATGGACACAGGCAGGACTGCTTGGGAGCAAGCGGCTTAAGGGGACACAGAGAGAAGTGCAGGAGCCTGGAGCCTGTGCACCATTGCACAGAGCAGGTAAGTATAACATGTTTGGTATTTTAATTTAAAAAATGCCAGCTTTACAATCAATTTAAAGATGTAAGAACTGTGCCATCTTCAGTCTAGGTATGTATTTCAACCAGGTAATAATTCTAATTTGAAAGAACTACTAAAGCAAGTGCAAAACATGTAACTTTCATGAAAGGGACATGTATATCAGACACAAAACAGTTATGCCATTACAATTTCTTTCACATTTTCAAATGCCCCCCCCCCCCCCACAAAACCCATATCAAAATCATTATTATTAACATTGTTCATGTGTGTTCCATTACAGGATACGCAAGCATTTCATCATTGCAACTACCCTAATAAACCTTGGACCTTAGGCTTTTTCTGGCATTGCTGCAGTAAAAGCTTCTTTCTGGCAACTCAACCATGCAGCTCATTTTTGTATTGTTGTATTGGGCTCCATACAAACAACTACATCGTCTTTCTGTATTTCTTTTGAGGTAACCTGTGGATTTTTCTTTGTATTTTGAACAATTCTCCTGGCAGTTGTGGCTGCAATCTTTCTTGGTCTACCTGACCTTGGCTTGATATCTAGAGAACGCCGAATTTTCCACTTCTTAAGTGATTCAACAGTACTGACTGGTGTTCTCAAGGCTTTGGATATCTTGTTAGATTCATTTCCATCTTTATAAAGTTTCATTACCCTGTTACGCGCATCTTTTGATAGTTCTTTTCTGCTCCCCATGGCTCAGTATCTAGCCTGCTCAGTGTATCCATGTGAGTGCTAACAAACTCATTGACTATACACAGACACTAATTGCAATGTAAAAAGCCACAGATGTGAGAAATTAACCTTTAAACCGTTTCAATACTGAAATTTTACACCTTCCTGCCCAGGCCATTTTTCAGGTTTCAGCGCTCTCACACTTTGAATGACAATTGCGCGGTCATACAACATTGTACCCAAACTAAAATTTTATCATTTTCTTCACACAACTAGAGCTTTCTTTTGGTGGTATTTAATCACCACTGGGGTTTTTATTTTTTGCTAAATTAACAAAAAAAGACCAAAAATTTTGAAAAAAAACCCCACATTTTTCTTAGTTTCTGTTATAAAAGTTTACAAATAAATAATTGTTCTTCATAAATTTAGGCCGAGATGTATTCTGCTACATGTCTTTGGTGAAAATAACCCAAATTAGGATGTATTTTTTAGTTTTTAGGAAAGTTATAGAGTTCACAAACTATGGTATAGATCTGAAAATTGATCAATCCTGAAGTACTGACGGCCAATCTAACTTCTTGAGGTCTAAGAATGTCAGAATAGTACAGATATCCCCAAATGACCCCTTTTTGCAGAGTAGACAGTCCGACGTACTTCATAAGAGGCATGGCGAGTTTTTTGAAGTTGTATTTTTTTGTCATAATTTTTCGGAAAATGAAAAAATGAAAAAAATTATTTTCACTATTTTTTTTTTTTACATACTGTCACCAGTGCAGTACAGCGTCATCATATAACTGGCATGGCGGTGAACAGGGACACTGACTGGTGACAGTATGAAAAAAAAAAATATATATATTTTTTTTTAATTTTTTTTATATTTAATTTTTTATTACATTTTTTTTATTTTTTTCATATTTTACTATGACCAAAATAGTACAATGTTACCATAGTAACATTGTACTACTTTGGGGAAGTGATCAGTATTTTTTTTTTTTTTTTTTTACACAATTTGCTTATAGCAAAGAATTACTTTGCTATAAGCAAGCATTTACCTGAATGAAATCGATTCATTCAGCTTTTTTTTTTTTTTCGTGTGCTTAGCTGTGATTTGGTCACAGCTAATCACATGACATGTGCATGTGATTAGCTGTGACCATTCACAGCTAGGCACTAGTATACAATGGATGGCATCATGAATGAAGCCATCCATTGTATACAACTGTCATGTGACCTGCTGTGATTGGTCACAGCAGGTCACATGGTACCAGCAACGGGACGGTACTCGAGCCGTGTCCGAGGTGCACGGCTGATGACAGATCGCACTGCTGTGCCGCTCTGCACTAGCGCAAATGGCGCATGTGCGGGAGCACGCCAAATGGCATGTACCCGGAACGGAGAGACACTTCTGAAGCCGCCAAACGGCCATTGGCCGGGCGGCTAATGGTTAATTGACATTTAATTTGTGTGTGTCACCTTGTATGTCTATAGCAAGGCCAAACATTTCAGGGTAAGTAAACTTTTGATCAGGGCCATTTGGGTGAGTTCTGTTATCATTATGATTTAAAAAAGAGCCAAACAACTATGTGATCATAAATGGCTTCATATGATCACTATCCTTAAATAAAGAGTTTTGTGGCATGATCAGTCATATTTTCAATATCAATGCCAAAATGTCATGATTTCTGCCAGGGTATGAAAACAGAGTAAGCTCAACTGTATACTACTTTGCTGTACATGTACAGAAAACTTATGAAACCTTACAACAACTGAGTTGTACACGTTACTAGCAGTCTCCAAGTTTGCATATGTATCTTCAATTGGGAATGTAGTATGCTTCAACCATTCCAAAAGTGGTCTTTCCATTCCTGTTCCAATGAATGAGTACTGGGGTGCGTGGATGTGGGTATCAACCATTCCAGGCATGAAGAATTCACTATAGTAAAAAAAAAATCTATATTTTAATAAACAAAAAACACAGATTCCGTTTAGATGCCTACACTCTATGGACTTTACAAAAAGATAATGCAAATTATTCCTTACACAAAAAATGCAAAAAATCATTTTACCCACTTTTCCTTTTCAAGTTTGAGTTCTTAACAATTTATAAATTAATAGCTGGGTGCAATAATTTGTGTCTTTTGCATTTGCCTGGAGATCAGCTTTAAATGTATTCATTGCAGGATAAATACCTAAATTTGGCCTGGGAACATCTTCTTGTAATCCAAAGCTCTGGATAGAAAGTAAGCATTGCAGTTGTTTTTTTAATGTTTAACTTTCAATGGACTATATTATTATTATTATATTTAGTTTTGGTGATCCATTTAACTCTTATTCAAGTTCTAAGGGAAGCCCAAAAAAACCTACCTGAACTTGCACTATTGGATGTTGTTGTCACCAAACCCATATAAACCTGTGGAATCTGACAAAGGTCCAGACACACAGAAATACATTATGCAATAAGCAGGTAGTGTGACCCCAGATAACAAGTTCTCAGGTTTTCACTAATAACTGGCAGCACCAATATTTACTGATGTTTACAATTCATCTAAACGATTGTTTACAATTCACCTTAAAGTGATAATGAACCCTTAGGCCCCATTCACACTATGGTGTTTTGAATCCTGGGCAGAATCGCTGTGATTCTGCCCACAATTTCATAATGCTTTGCTAAAATAACAAATCTCACAACAGCATGTTCATTCATTTTAGCCTCAATTTTATTAGCACTTTCAACAGCCGGTTTAACACTGAATATGCTTCAACAAAATGATGACCATCTGCACACAGACACTCCCCTGTTGCATGAATGTGAATGAAATGGGTGAAAGATGGCTTTAGCTGCTGTTCTCCACCTGTAGAGAAAATATTTAGCCAAACACTCACTACATTCTATCAGATGCAGTCACTGTTCAGCAACTTCACTGCATTCAATAGCCAGCAGTGGAGATTCCTCCAGCCACACTAAGACCCTGGGTGCGACTTGGCATGCGATTTGCATGCCACGTGACTTGCAAATCGCATGCCAAGTCGCACCCTATTGTCCACAATTACAGCGGTCATATAGGTGCGGTTCCGACTTGGTCAGAGCCGCACCAATTTCTAAAATAGTACATGCACTACTTTTGGTGCGATTTGCATAGACATCTGTGTCAGATGTCTTGCAAATCGCACCTGAAATCGGCATGTCCCCCGACTTTCAAATCGTGCGACTTCACTGTAGGTCACACAAATTCAAAGTTGGGCTTAATGTGACCGGAGTGTAAAAGAAAATAAAGTCGTGTACAGCAGCCGTAAGGCACAGTTCACACTAGTGCCATTTTGCGGGCTGCGGAATGGCAGCTTATTAATTTCAATGGGCTGCCGAGCCTTGAAAAACATAGGAAAAAGGTCTCACATTTTGTGTGTGGGTGGATGCAGCTGCAGGATGAAGTGGCTTTCACCCGCACTAGTGTGACCAGTGCTTATAACTTTTTCACCAACAGCATATTCTAGCAGTATTTTAAACAAAGATAATCAACACAAGGGATGGAGTTCAAACAAAGGGACATTAATATTCAGGTGGCTAAGGCAGGATGATGTCTCAGTTTGGTCCTCTTTCTAGTGGACACAAGCTATCAATGTCATCAGAGCATTCACAGAAAAGCAGGACTGGGCTTGCATTGAAAGCATTAAATAAGTAATTAGCAATAAAAGCTAATTCAATTCAATTCAATACATGGAACATACTTCTTGCCAAGTACTTCAATCGTGCTTTCATCAAATCCCCACTTCTGAGCCAATCGTGATTGTTCCCGAACCTCCTGAAAGAACAGGATCTTGAAAAAAATTGAGACGAGTATAAGAAGGCTGTATTTTCCCTCAAAACAAGTGAGTTATAATGCATGCTCTAATACACATTTAACTTCTTATATGTTACCCGCTGATTCTCACAAAAGAAATGCAGTAATCCAGTTCATGTTTTAGTATACAGTCATGACTTCATGGAGCCAAATTTCACAACATTTTTTTAGTAGCACATTAAGTTCTAAACAAAACATCTGTTTTGCTAATCCTATCCTCATACTGTAGCCCCATTGACTTTTGCTGTATCCTGCACCTTAGCCTAATTCTTTTTCTATCCACCCCCTACTTATACTTTCTAACCTTCTTTCTTTCTCTCTGCAAAACAGTGTCCACTTCATTAAGATACAGAATGTCCCTGCCAAAGGCAGCCAAGACAGGCCAGTTCTTCAAGAACCCAAACTACTCAGCCACTGAGGAAAGAATGGGATCCCTCTGCCTGTCTAGTTTAACTACTTGCCCTCTGGAAGATTTGCATATACATTACTATTAAGATACAGGATTTATATAGCGCCAACAGTTTGCTCAGCGTTTTACAATATAATGGGAGACAATACAGCAACAATACAGTTCAATACAAGAGGGTTAGGAGGGCCCTGCTCCTTGGAGCTTACAATCTAAGAGGGAGGGGCTAGTGGTACAAAAGGTAATAACTGTGGGGGATGGACTGGTAGGAGGAATAGAAGATTCCATTATTAACTGAGGGCAGGATAGGCTTCCGTGAAGAGATAGGTTTTCAGAGATCGCCTAAAAGTAAGCTGAGTAGGCGATAGTCTGATAAACTTGGGTAGAGAGTTCTAGAGGATGGAGGAAGCTCTGGAGAAGTCCTGGAGATGAGCATGGGAGGAGGAGACAAGGGAGCTAGAGAGCTGGAGGTCATGCGACGAGAGGAGTGAGCGGAAAGTATGGTTTGGGTGATATTTGGAGACAAGATTGGTGATGTAATTTGGGGCAGAGTTATAAATGGCTTTATATGTTATTGTTAATGTTTTGAATTTTATTCGTTGGGCAATGGGAAGCCAGTGGAGGGATGGCAGATATGGAACGGAACGTTAGTAAGGTGGATGAGTCTGGCAGCAGCATTCAAGATAGACTGAAGAGGGGATAGCCTGAATTAGGTAGCCAATGAGGAGGGAGTTACAACAGTCAAGGCAAGATATAACAAGGGAGTGTATAAGTTGCTTAGTGGTTTCCAGGTTAGGAACGGTCGTATCTTGGAGATGTTGCAAAGGTGAAGTCTACAAGATTTGGACAGCGATTGGATTTGGGGCTGAAAGGACAGATGGGAGTCTAGGATTATACCTAGTACCCTGGCATGAGGGGAGGGACTGATGGTTGTATTATTGATCTTGATGGAGAAATCAAGAGAGGGGGCACGGGCTGAGGGAATACTAAGAGCTCAGTTTTGGAAAGATTGAGTTTGAGGAAGTGGAGTGACATCCATGCGATATGTCACTTATACTGATGCTGTATTTATTTGAAATGTATATACTTTATTTTTTATATAAAATATTTATTTGTATATAGCCCCTTCCAAGTTTGTCCCCGTTTTTTTTGTATATGGGATGCCCTTGCTCCTGGGCTCAGGAGCTATTTTTTTAAATTTTTCAGCCAATGAGGACATAACTGTTTTCTAGTAGGGGGTGGATGTAACACCATCTAGGGTAAATTTTTTCTTTTTTACAGTTGAGGCTTGCTAGAAGCCTGGGAGTGAGTCAGCAAGGTTATTTCAGGTTCATGCTGGATGGCTCTACAGGTCAATTTTCTGATACCTCCCCCTGCTCTAGAAATTTCTAGAAGCCAGTAGGCTGGGGTGAGGAGGGGCTGATCAACATACGTAGGGAAATATGGCCAATCTCCAGGCAGGAGTCCTGGCATAGTGGCTAGGTCAGCCCTTAATTACGTCAGAGCCTGGTCAGCAGGGGAGTCGGGTGGAAGATTTAGTGAGGAACTGCTGCTGGTGTAGAGCCTGGAAGGGTCCCCAGAGTAGGAGGGTCTACCTACAGGCTGGGAACTGGAAAGAGGGACCTCCACTGTTCCACAGTCTACAGGGAAGGACGGCCTGTCAGCAGGAGAAGAAGCCAGCCCAATGTAAGGCCTGAAAGCATCTTCACCTTTACAGCTACAGGAACAGGACAGTGTGAGTACCTCTACACCCCCTGGACCTACAAGGGAGAGGGTGGTGAGGTGCAAACTAGTTCTCCCTGGGACTGAATTCTTTGTGTGTCACAGAATGCCTTGCCCTTGGATACTCTTATGATAGCCAGATGGATGAGGAGATTTTCATCTGGGGTCTGAGGAGGTTCATTGAAGGGGACTTAGTGCTCCTAGCAAAGACTATGTGTTGATTTCTTCAAAAGACAAGAGTCACTCCTGAAGGCATAGAGAGTCCAGGATTTATTCTTTTGTGCTTTTTGCTGAATTCTTGCCTTTATGTACATAAGAAGCTGTCCTCCAAGTTGTTCAGTTCCATTGGGCCCTTCCATATACCCATAGACCCTACCCAAGTTGTTAACCCCTAATAAAACAACAAAAACTATGCTCATGGATTGTTTACTGACTTTGGATGCAAGTGTGGAAAATATGTGTTGCCTGGCTGTACAGAGCTTAGGGGGATCTCAACAGGGTAACACTATATTTAATCACGGAGTGCTCTACTTGTGGCACTTTAAAGAGACCCATGTTTTGCCTATGTAGAAAAAACAACAGGGTCACTTAAATTTCCCCTCTCCAGAAGCTTAAATTGATCTTTCCTTCACTCCATCCACACCACCTCATTTTGACAATGGACATGAAGAAAAATACTTGGAATTCTAGTTATGGGGGAGCAGGTGACTGCCTTTCTTTCTCCCACATAACAATCTTGTGCCTGGTGATTGGCCCAGCACTATCACATGTAGGCACGGAGAGAGAGCGGTCATTCTGCATCAAAAATGCATGGACAGTGTTTAACAAAGATCCCAATGGCCCTAGTTGACACCAGTACAGTGAGTTCCAGTGCAGTCAACAAAAGTAGAACATGTTGCATTTTTTTTTGTATTGAAACCTAGAAATCTAAAACATGGCAAAATGCATCAAAAACACACTAGAACACACCTCAATTGAGATGAAATAAGAAAAGAAGGGAAAAAGTGCACCGGAACGCATAAAAAATGCACATGCAGAAACTAATCCGAAACAAAGAAATTGTGGTGTTGGCCCTTAAGACAGAAAACTGCTAAAAATTATATTTAGCATTTGTATTTTCAGACAATAGGCAACCTGGAGAACACTTTTATCTAGGTAAATACAACTTTAATAATTTAGGCATTTTGTTTAACACAATAAAACAATCATTGCAAAAATCAGTGCTCAATCTTCATTTCTTCATTTTGGCTTTCTTTGATCCTGTGCCAGGTGCAGCATGACAGGATATATCACGTCAGTCTTTGTGGTTGTGATTTACATTTCCCTCTTAGTCACTATCATACTTTATGCTTGCACACTTTGAAGCACAAGTAACAACCTTCAGCAGTTCCCGACTTCACTTTCAGTTCAAGAGAGACTTCATCCTGCTCTGCTACCAGAATTGTGAATGAACAATCAAGCAAACTTTTAAACAGGAAAAAATGGAGAAAAATAAACAAAATCAGATATATACAGTTAAATGTGTATCAGGCCGCATTCACACTTGGAGATTTGGAATCAGTGCTACTCTACCGGCAATTCCAAATCGTGATAAAACAGGCAACACATGTTTGTGTGACATATTTATTAATGGCACACCAAATGCAATGCGATTTTACCATTATTGTCTTGCACCAGAATTGCACCAAAATCATGGCAAAACACGCTTTTAAAAATCGCACAAAGCCCATTGCCCAAAAAGGAGCAGAGACTTCTTTTGGGTGACAAATGAGCACAGGGAAGCCCTGAAATGGAAGGGGCTGCCCTATGTGTGACACGAAGAAATGCAATTTCTTTATAAATTTAGACCGAAATGTATTCTGCTACAGGTCTTTGGTAAAAAAAAGTCCCAATAAGTGTATATTAATTTGTTTGTTTGAAAGTTATAGCATCTAAAAATTATGATATGTATACTGGAATTTTTATTTATTTATTTATTTTATATTAGTAATGGAGGTGACCAGAGACTTTGTGCAAACTGCCACTGACATCACCAGTAACATTAATCCAGTGATCAGTGCTAATACTAAACACTATCACTGTGCTAATGACACTGGTTGGAAAGGGGTTAACGTCTATGGGCAATGAAAGGGTTAAATGTGTGTCTAACAATGTTTACCTTTTGTAAAGTGTGCTGATTTTACTGAGCTATGTTCCTGTTTTTACTCCGTTTGGTGCTGTGGTCTGTTGGGAGCCCTGTGTTGTTTACCGACACAGGGCTCTCTTCTGTCATTCACTCAGCCAATCAGCAGGCCCTGTCCATAAATTATTGGCCAGGACCTGCTGTTTGGCTTGTGCTGTAGTGAATGACAGCATAGACGGAAAGGGAGGAACATGTGCCCCCTACCCGGAAATGCCAGATCATGTACATGTACTGTATGTGATCTGGAACAGAAGAGTCACTGGCCTGCATTATATCTGCATGAGCTGGTCGGCAAGTAGTTAATACACCAACAGTGGTTAGTATTTAATTAGTAAATTGGGCTGTAATTAATGTCAAGATGAAAGGGATGTTTACAGTAACATGTATACTTGCTATTGCTATAGTACATGACTCAGGTAGGGCTTCATTCCTGAAAGAAAGTTGGGAATGACAAAAAAAAACAAACACATTTAGGCACGTTTACACGCAGTTTTTTTTCAGCCTCTAAACGCTTCTCTTTCAATATGCCTGTAATTGCCTATGTGTGCATGGCCACATTGGCTAACATAGAGGTGAATTTAGATGCTAAAAAAAAAGTCAAACGTCGGTAAAAGCAGTGTTTTTTTTTACGTCCTTTGTGTTTATTAAACAATATCAGTATAAAAAAAA